TGGGGCCAGCTATAACCTTCTAGCCCTGTCCCTATGGTTTTATGCCTGATAGCTAGGCCCTATATCCAAAAGGTTCCACAGCGTCCCCAACTGGGGACCAAGTGTTTAAACACATTAAGCCTGCATTTCTCATTAGTAATTCCTATATACTGGGATTCTTCTGTTCTCCAGTTGCTCTGACCAATTTGGGGGAAGATGATTTTCCATGGCTCCATGCTTACAGACTCAGGAAAAGTTGGTTTTTCAGTTGCTTCCTTGATGGCGTGATGATGTCTTTCAAGCTTTTCACATGGCAGACCAGAAACTGGAAGCCACATTTTTTTTCTTAAATAATAAAAACAATCCAAATACCCTCAAAACTGGCATATGGATAAACAAAATGTAGCATCTCTGTGCACAGTAATGATAGTTACCAATAAAACAGAACAAGGTCCTCAGACGCACTACATATGGATAAGCCTCAAACCCGCTGAGCACAAGAAGCCAGACACAGAGCACCCAGTATGGGATGGTATTTGTATAAAATGCTCAGGGAAAAAAAAATCTTTGGAGACAAAAAGCAAATTAGTGGTTCCCTGGGGCTGCTGGTGCAAACAGTGGAAGAGTCACGGGGGGTGTTATTGGAAGATGGAGAATTTCTAAAATCGGGTTGTGGTATGCTCACATGACTTCTTCACTTACTCAGAACCACCATGTACATTAAAACGGGTCAATTTTGTGGAGCGCAAATAATCTCCCAAGAAAGCTCATTACTGAAAAGAATAAAGGCTCATCTATAAACACATGACGGTATCAAATATGCAGTGGTCCCCCTTACCCCAGGGTCAAGCCCGTCCCCGCTCCACTTCATTCTTCTCTCTTTCCCCCATTTCCTCAAAATGGCAACAAAATCTCCCATGGCAACAGCAAACAAAACACATCGTGGTCATTCCCCATATCACTGCCATGTTTGAAAATAGCCGCACATGGTGGCGCACGCCTTTAGTTCCTGCACTCGGGAGGCAGAGGCAGACGGATCTCTGAGTTCAAGGCCAGCCTGGTCTGCAGAGTGAGTTCCAGGATAGCCAGGACTACATAGAGAAATCATTTCACAAAAAAAGGGGGTGTGTGGAATTGTAATATAATTTCATCATCTTCCCCTTCTCTTGCCTCCCTTCACCCCCTCCGATGTACTGCCTTTGCTCTTTTTCAAATTCATGGTCTCTCCTTTATTGTTGTTACACACACACTCCAAAACTTAGAAATACAACCTGATCAGTCTATATAATATAATAGATATGTTTCCAGGGCTGGCCATTTGATATTGGAATACCAGTCTGTGTCCCCGTCCCTGGGGAAGCCTGTTCCTCCTGGTCCCAGCATCCTTAGTTGCCTGTGGTTCTTGTTTATGGGTTGAGGCCTGGTGCACTCTCCTTCCATGTGTGCGTATGTGACAAGATGTCATCCTTGTTCGGGTCTTGCTTAGGTAGCCATGTTGGTGAGACTTCTTGGATATAGCTTCTCTGACATTTCTAGGAGAAACAACCTTGCAGCAAACCTCCTGGTCCTCTGGCTCCTTCTGCCCTGCCTTCTGCAAGGATCCCTGAGCTTTAAGTACAGAAGTTTTGGTGAGGTTGTATCCATTGGGGCTGAGCTCCACGACTCTACGTTTTGATCAGTTGTGGTTTTCTGTAATGGTCTCCATGGGTATTGGCTGGTGTTGTGTGCCAACTTGACACAAGCTAGCGTCATCAGAGGAAGGAGCCTCAGTTGAGGAAATTCCTTGATGAGATATAACGCATTTTCTCATTTGGTGGTCAATGGGGAGGACCTTGCTAACGGTGGGTAGTGACATCTCTAGGCTGGTAGTCCTGGGTTCTAGAAGCAGGCGGGTTGAGCAATGTAGGTGAAGCAAACCAGTAAGCAGCCCCCCTCCATGGCCTCTTCATCAGCTCCTGCCTCCAGGTTCCTGCCCTGCTTGAGTTCCTGTCCTGATTTCCTCCAATGACAGATTATGATCTGGAAGTGTCAGCCAGATAAACCCTTTCCCCCCAACTTGCTTTTTGGTCATGGTGTTTGGCCACAGTAATAGAAGCACTGGCTGGAACACCATCTGTTACAAAGAGAAGTTTCTCTGATGAGGAGTCTACCACTCCGTTTTTGCAGTCCCATGGACATACATGGCTTACTATCCCCTGGCTGGGTTTCTAGATCTTCTCCACGCATGGCCATTAGGAGAAGCCGTGTGTGCCATCTTCCCCATCTGGCGACAATGAGGCAGGCCCCCAGTGTTTTGTCCCGCCTTCTCCCTTTGCCCGTCGGATGAGCTAAACCAGCATCTTCCTGTTGATTTCAGCTGAGTGCTTAGTCACAAGGAAAGCTGACATCTCTCTCTGTCCACTGATAGCTTGTTTCCATTTTTGTTGCTGTCCTTAATGGAGTACCCACACTTTTCCTTTGTGCCGGATTACACTGGGGTAGCTGTCTTTTTTGCTGAGTCTAAGTGCCTTTTATAACATTAACTTTTACGCTGCTGTCTATGATGCAGCTCTTTCAGGCTAGCCTCTTAGCAGTCCACGTTGTTTGTGGTGATTTTGGTGCATAGAAATCTCACGCTACTTCTTTGGGGTTATCAGTTTTTCTCTACATTTTCTGACTTTATTTCAGACAGGCTTTTTCTAGCCCAATATTATATACTGTCTGCCCTTATTTTCCATTTTTGGCAATTGTATAGTGTTCTCCTTCCCCTTTCTCTTGTTTCCTTGCTAATCTTTAATTCATCTGGAAATGACTGTGATGCATGGAATAAGATTGGAATCTAGAGACCCAAGTATGTATCTCAGTGGTAGAGTGCTTGCCTAGCATGTATAAAACCCTGGATCCAATCCTTGTATCAAAAACAAAAAAAAAAAAACCTAAAATCCCAAATAATAAAATAATTGTCAGGACACAATTAATGAATAATTCATTCTTTTGCCACTGCTGCGAAACATCTTCTCATTCATGTTTTAGATACTTGTCTCTGCTTGAGCCTCTTTCGACGGCTTTTTATCTCATTCTCTTGATCTCCTGTGTTTTCAGACGCTATTACAACATGGTTTTAATTATTTTGGCTTAATGATATATTTTCAAATCTGATAATACGAGTCACCTTTCATCATTTCTGTAAAGACATTTTTTTCAGTCATTATCTCATACTTAGCTTTCACATTTTGGAGTCATTTTTTTCCAAGTCGAAGAGAAGTCCTTTGTGGCTTGATCGGAGCTGAATTAAACTGAAAAATGGCTGGAGAAAACTGAGACCTGAAATTTTGCTTTCCCAGGGACAGCGGCATGGGAGCTGTGTGTGTAGTCTCTTTGTCTCTGCCTCCTGCCAGGGGGTCACTAGGTAGCCCTGGCGTGTCTGAAACTCCCAGAGATCCACCGCCTGTGCTCCTGAGTGCTGGGATTCAAGGCCTGCGCCACCACTCCTGGCTTGGCTGTCTCTCTTGCTTACGGTGTTTTATTTGTTTTCGTCGTAAGCTGTTGGAATTGCATGTTTGTATTGGGGTTATTATCTGTTCTTCAGTGTGTGTGCTGATGCTGTGGAGGGGGACCTTTCGCTGTTAAGTTTCCTTCTGAGTTCTCGCTGATAGAAAGCGGCGCTGTCAACATGTGCTAACTACTTGTTTAACTCTCCCTAACCATTCTCACCTGTCTTCGTAGCTAGGGTTGATTTTTTTTTCCCCTTTGCACCCACTGATGCAATAGTAGCACTGATGTTCCAGGCGTAACCAACCGATTCCTGATTGGATCTGAGGTCTGCTCCATGGAAAGGAATGTGCGCATGGTGCTATGAACTTGCTTAACAACCTATAGCTAGGGATATACAGGCCTTACAGAAGAAAATCTGCTGCTGATGATTTGATAAATGCTTGTGCAGTTAAGCTGCCTTCTGTTTTTTTCTGTTTAAACCCATAGGTTGGGGCAACTTTGGTCAGAAAAACCTCTGTGGGCTATATGCGATGGTCAGAGCAGAGATTCATAATTGGTCAAAGTGCTAAGAATAAGTGTGTGTTGAGTATTCAGCCCTAACCGGGACATCCACATTAGCCCTTTGAGGCCCAGAGGGAGTGGGACGACAGTAAGAGCCAGAGGCTAGGGAGGAGTGCCATGAAATGCTGACTTTTGGGTGTGGCGTGGCCACTGCAGTCGTGAACAGACAGCATCTGTGACCACCTGCACAAGGCCCGTGCGTGCACAATGAAAGAGAAAGTCATGAAGGTAGAGCGGACCTCGCCAGGAAGGAGCCAGGAGGGAGGTAAGAGACAGAGTGGGGAGTGAGGACAATCACAGCACATTAGCAATTATCCCACGTGCAAATAGGAGTTTGCACCTTTGCGGCAGCCATGCGTCCCGTTCACTTTCTGTCTCATCTTGCAGGTTAGTGGCGCAGTGTGAATCTTTACCAACACTTTTTAAATTTTTCCTTTGACAAGAACGCCTCCAGTGTTTCATTAGGTATTAGTCACTGTGATATTAGGGCTGACGTGAGCTAAAGTTGCTTGAAGGAAGTGCCTTTCCTGCCGCTGCCGTATTAGACATTCTTTATGGCGGTAGACACTGGATTTCATCAGATGCCTCCCTGAGTTTTGAGAGTGGATCATATTTTCATCCCCTTTGAACTATCGATGTGGTGGAATTGTACTCACAGATTCCTTTATTGAACCAGTCTTGCATTCCTGAAATAAAACTATGTGGTCATGGTATGTTAGCCCTGTAATATTCTGGTAGGTTCTACTTGCCAGAACTCTATTAAGAATTTTCATAGCAGTGTTAAGTTGGTAATCTTATTTTGGCCTGTCAGATTTTGTTAAGCAGGAATTTGCCAGCTGGGTAAAATGTATAATTTTTGAACATGGAAATTATCTAGGATCTTATTGAACGCTGGGGTGGGAGACCCTGTCTATATAACCTGTGTGATGCATCCTTGCTCTGGCCCCATCCCTCCTGCCCACACACAGCTGTGTCATCTCTCACAGGAGGAATCTTTGAGTATGCGGATGGCCCCAACGCCCAGGTCATGAACGCCGAGGAGCATGCCTTTCGATTTTCTGCCAACATCATCAACAGGAACAGGACTCTGCTGCCCAACACAACCTTGACTTACGACATTCAGCGGATTCACTTCCATGATAGCTTCGAGGCCACCAAGAAGGGTGAGTGCGTCGATCTGATCCTCGCTGTGCACTTCCAACTTGAGGCTGGGACGGGGGTGAAGCCTTTTCCACTTGGTCTGGGGGGCATGATTCTTTCTCTGTCTAGAGCAGCCCGTGCCAATTTCCCAGGAGCAGGGGCAGGGGCTGTAAGGAAGTCTCAGGCTAGCCAGGCATGGTGCTGTAGCCTGTAATGCCAGCAGTCAGGAAACCAAGGTAAGATCATGAGCTCCAGGCCAATCTGGGCTATGTGGCAAGTACAAGGTCAACCTGAATTACGTGCAAGACCCTGGGAGGCTATGAAGGGGGGTTGGTTAGCGGAGGAAAGGTAGGCAGGGCCTGGGATTGCCTGAAGGAACCAGCCAAGGTTTCCAGGACCTTTGAACCAACATGAACATTTTCAAAGTTGAGTTTTCTTTTCTGTTAGTTTATTTTAATGGGAAAATATTATAATTATTTATGGTATAGGATGTGCTTGTTTGGATACATGTGTGCCTTGTATATTGCTCAAATCAGAGGACCCCAGATACCCACCACATCTAGCATTCATAATTTCTTTATGGTAAGAACATTGAAGATCCCCTCTTTCAGCTCTTTCAAAATATGCAATACATTATTATTAACCATAGTCTCCTTGCTATGGAACTTATTTTATCTTTCATTAGTATCCTACTCAAGTAGCAAGAGGTAGCATCCATATAAAACAGATACCATACTAGCCCGAGAGCACACCATCTGCCTACCATAAAAAAGACTTCATGAAAACGGCACGCTGCTCAGTTCCTGCAGCAGCTTGACCCCAGAGGATATAGCTGAGTCCTGAGTCTGACCCTTGTCCCATATTCGGTGTGTGTCTGTACTTTCTTTCTTTCTTTTTTTTTTTAGTTTTTCGAGACAGGGTTTCTCTGTAGCTTTGGAGCCTGTCCTGGCACTAGCTCTTGTAGACCAGGCTGGCCTCAAACTCACAAGATCCACCTGCCTCTGCCTCCCGAGTGCTGGGATTAAAGGCATGCACCACCACCGCCCGGCTGTGTCTGTACTTTCTGTTGCCTGCGTCGTCATTAGAAAATCCTGGCTTGCAACAGCAAGTTGTGGTAAGTCTATTTCAAGTGACTCCACACCAGAATTCTTAAAGATAAGATAAAAACAATTTAAAAAAGACTGAAATACCACTGTCCACGGGTCCTCACACACACACACCAGTAACTAACTTCTCAGTTCCTGGGTGAGTAGCCAGTTGCCAGTGTGCTATAAAGCACACCCAAGTGCCCAAGTGCCCAAAACCCAAGTGGGTTTTGTTGTTGTTGTTGTTGTTGTAACTATGTTTTTTAAAGATTTATTTACTTTTGTTTTATGTGTATAAGTGCCTGCATGTATATATGGGTACCACATGTATGCAGTGCCTGCAGAAGTCAGAAGAGGGTGTCAGATCCCTGTGGTAATGGAGTTTGATTATGAATTGCAGTGTGGGTGCTGGGAACTGAACTTGGCTCTTCTGCTAGAGCAACCAGTACTCTTAACCGCTGAGCCATCTCACCAGCCCCATTTTAATGTCTTTTAAATGACAGCTCGTATGCATAAACCCGTGCTTGTGTGCATGCACACAGTCGGCCCTCCAGGCCCATGGGCTCTATGGTTTCAGCAAATCATGGGCCAAAAACTCCAGGAGGGAAAAAAAAATAATTTCTTCCGTACTAAACATATATAGACTTTGCTGTGTCATTTCCCCTAAACAGTAAGCACAGTGCCTATTTACATAGCATTTGCATTGCATTGTGGGATGAGGCATCTTAAGACGATAGAGCATAAGGCATAGTGTGTGGAAGAAATATGCAAATACCAAGCCCCTCAGTGCCAGGGACCCAGCATCTGCGAGTCTGATATCTGCAGGGGGTCCTGGAACCAATTCCCTGCGGATCCTGAGGGAGACTGCATATCTGAACTATATTTTTACATATATATTTAATTCAAATTCAACTTAAAGGCTTAGATAACTGGAAATAGCTTCCATAGAACCTTCGATTTCCATGTAACCATTTAAAGATCTCGAGCCTAAGGAATCTCATTTCCAAAATGACTAGGTCATCCTTTCCGAAATATGATATCATAACCCATCAAAGCTCATATCACAATTTTTAGTAAAATCATTAGGTTTTTAATGTACTTTCCCTTCTCCCTCACATTACTGAAGGGAAGACTCTCTTGGTATTTGCTCTATTCCTGGGGCACCTGAAGGATAAGGGACTGTAGTAACTGCTCAATAAAGTGATTGTTGAATGTATCGGTAAGCCATGAGAACCTAAGAGTCATTGTCTAGGACCCCTGTAAACTGAGCTTAGGGGCTAGCATCATCCATGGTAGGCTGAGACTAGCCCATAAGCTAGCCTTGTCTCTCTAAGGAGTTCCTGGTTTCTAAGCTGTTTGACCTCCTGGGCTGCCAGGGGTGGAGCCGCCAGAATGTTGCCTGCTCTGTTTTCCAAAGCCTTGTGGGTTAGCTTTTGAGGTCAGAGTCTGCAGAGTGTGGAAGCTGGCATCCCTACCACCCTGACTTTAACTGTGTTGGACAGAGTACCTCTGTTAAGTGCTTACAATGGTGTCTGGCTCTCAAATAGGATTTTGCTCTGGATACACTGGGCTCTCTGGCCCTCTACACACTAGGACATTAAGGCAGGGCCTGACTCCTACAAAGGCTTTCCCTGCTCCCCCTCCTCTCCTGTGTGTGCCTAAGGTAAGAGGCTCCATGAGATTGAGCTGTTGTGTCTGACATTCATGAGCCTCACTCCACCCTAGCTAGTCCTGAACCCTACCTCCCTGAACTAGTCTTGATTGTTCCCTGCATGCCATGCGACCAGCACCAGGAAGCTAAGGATCTATCTCCCTGCCATGCTGACACCCACATGCAAATGACTACACTGGATCAGGCCTAGCCCCAGAAATTTCAGGGCTCAGCAAATGCCTGGCGTCAGATCAGAGGCCCTCATAGGTCCAGCCAGCCCGAAGGCTATGCTGTCTGACGAGTGATGTTTAGTATTCCCACATTGGTGGCAGCAGAGCACAGTTTGGAAGCCTTCCCAGGGCTCTTCCTTCCAGGACTTACGCTTTGTATGCAACACTGCAGGCTGTTCGCAGAGACCAGAGGCAGAACCGCCCACTCCCAGCAGTCAACTATAGCCTTTACTTCCATATCAGACCACACGGCTTACTCCCCTGAAGCCTTAGATGGTGTGCCTCATCCTCAGGCTTAAAGCCAGGCCGATCTAGCCCTACATCTTCCTGACTTCCTGTCACATCTGGACCCCCCAGTCCCTTAGACTCAGTTGTGTCTTCTAGCTCTACCTCCCTCCTCGGGGCTTTTGTACATCCTGTTCCCCTTGCTTCTAATTCCTTCAAATAGGCACACTCTGCCCACACCGAGCCTTGCTTGTATTGAGCTAACTCATTCTTTTCCTTATATTCTATCTAAGATACGGTCAGGCCTCCTCCCCTCTGTCTTGATAATCTTAGACTTTTCTTTTGCAATCTCAACTCCTTGAGAGGTGTGTGTGTGTGTGTGTGTGTGTGTGTGTGTGTGTGGTCCCTAGACTGCAATCCCTATTAACGATTCATTATTGTACTATATAACCTAGTGTCCTAGTTTGCTTTATGTTGCTATGATAAAGCACTGACCAGATCCAGTTTGGAGGGATGCCAAGGCAGGGACTGCAGGCCAGAACTGAAGCAGAGACCATGCCTACTGCCTCTCTTCCCCAGCTTATGCTCAGCCTGCTTTCTTATACAACCCGGGACCACCTGCCAGGGGTGGCACCACCCACAGTAGCCCGGGCCCTCTTACATCATCACTCAAGACAATAGCCACAAACATGCCCACAGGCCCATCTATCTGATGAGTGCGATTCCTCAGTTGCAGTGCCTCCCTCCCGGGTGTCTCTAGTTTGTGTCAAGTTGGCAATACTAACCAGCGCACCTCATGGACCCGCACCCAGAGTGCCCAGAGTCATTACCGAGGGTTTCATCCGATGTACAAGTGAGAGACAGTATGAACAAATTCCTGGTATGTCGGAAGTCACTTTAAATTTAAATCTCCTGTTTATCCCAGAGGGAGACAAAGCTTTGCCCCTCTTCAGGTCACATCCATGGTATTAGGAAACTGGGTCATAAGACCACCAACTACACAGCCAGAGAATAATAACAAGTCACACACGTGCTGGCCCAGGCAGGAGGGTTTCCTGGAGTAGGAGATGTCTCAGCTGTGTCCTGAAGGTCGGTGGGAAACAGTAAGGATAAGGGTAATATTCAAAGCAGGACAGATCTGCAAGAGGACAGGAACGCACTTGAGCACCCCTGGGGAGCATTTGGTGTGTGACAGAAGTCGGGGTCACAAGGTGAGAAAGGTGGAGGCAGAACTTCTGTTTACCGTGGCTAGGAAGGTGGCCCCAGGCCTGGGAACCACAGGGAATGACGGAGAAGAGAGCCCATCCTGGGCTTGGCCAGGGAGTACTCAGAAGAAACAAACCTGTCTGAGCCAGTTCAAGACAGCATCCCAGGGCCCAGATCAAGCCAGAGAGCAGGCAAGCCCTTCCAGGCCTCTGGGAGCCCCTGTGAGCATGCCGTCTGCTTGTAACTGCACTCCAGGCTGCTGCCTCGCACTGCTTTGACCTGGCCTCAGAGGTCAGGAGGTTAGAATCACTCAACATCTCCTTTATGAGGTTTGCTCCTGGAGCCCCACCTCCCAGCCCTGCACTCATGGGTCATCGTGACTGATGGCCCTGCCTTCTCACTCTCCGCCAGCCCTTGAGTCGCTCCCACTCGGGGGTTTCTAGTGCAGTGTTTTTGTGAACGGCTGTGTGCTCGTCCCCAGGGACACAGGTACCCGGTTTTGTTGAGTTTATTTTCAGGAGCTAAAGCGTAGGGTCACCGTGTTCAGCCAAATGGTCTCACAGGTGGTTGTGCAAATTTGCACTCCCACAGCAGCTTACAAGGCCAACAGGTGTTCCACATCTGTGCCGACCTGCAGGAAGGTCATTTAGACTTTTTAAGGTTTTTCTTTTTTTAAAGGTTGTAAGCGTTATGTTGATTTGTTAAGTGGTTGTCTTATTGTAGCTTTCTTTTATATTTATCAGATGATTAGACAACAGAAGTCCCTTTTAATGGGGAAAGGCCTCGTAGGGCTCTGCAGGAGGAAGGGACTAATTCAGCCAGAGCAGGTCGGGTAGGTGGTGCCAGGTTTTGTCCTTCTGTGTTCCATTGCCCCATAAGACCTAACATGCCCCACAGTGCTAATTTGAATATTGAATAGGTCCTTTGAATATTCTTTTTCTCTTTTTGGGAGTGCTTTTTTTTTGTAACCTTTCAATGACCTTTTAAAAATTGAGCTTCTTATCATTTCCTTGTTGATTTAAAAGAGTTCTTTATATATTCTGACAAGAGTCATTTTAGGTGTGTGTGTGTGAATATGTACATGTGGGACTGTCTCTTAGTAGTTGTATCTCATGAAAAGCAGAGTCTTTAATTGGCAGAAGTCTGATTTGTTAATAATTCCCATTGTGTGTCCTGGTTGAAAAGTCTTTGTCTAGCCTAAAGATAGTCTCCCCTGTTTTCTTCTAGGAGTTCTGTGGTTGTGTCTTTCACGGTTGGCTCTCTGATCTGTCTCTGTGTGGTCAGACATGACTGTTGAGATTTGTTTCTTGTCCACAAGGCTGGTGGGGTAGATTCAGGTCCACCACAGCATTGTTTGCATGGGGCTGCATGTCTTAGTTAGGGTCTCTGTAGCTGTGAAGAGACACCATGACCGCAGCAACTCTTTTTTTTTTCTCAATTTATTTCTTTTTTTTTTTAATTTATTTATTTATTAAGGATTTCTGCCTCGTCCCCACAACCGCTTCCCATTTCCCTCCCCCTCCCCCGATATAGTCCCCCTCCCTCATCTGCTCGAAGAGCAATCAGGGTTCCCTGACCTGTGGGAAGCCCAAGGACTGCCCACCTCTATCCAGGTCTCGTAAGGTGAGCATCCAAACTGCCTAGGCTCCCACAAAGCCAGTACGTGCAGTAGGATCAAAAACCCACTGCAATTGTTCTTGAATTCTCAGTATTCCTCATTGTCCGCTATGTTCTGCGCAGCAACTCTTATAAAGGAAAACATTTAACTGGGGCTGGCTCACAGTTTCAAAGGTTTAGTCCGTTATCTTCATGATGGGACATGGCAGCATGCAGGCAAACATGGTGCTGGAGAAGGAACTCAGAGTTCTACATCTTAATCTGTAGGCAGCAGGATGTGAGCTATGTTCTACACTGGGTGTAGTTTGAGCATAGGAGACCTCAAACCCACCCCCCACAGTAACACACTTCCTCCAACAAGGCCACACCTACTCCAATAAGGCCACGCCTCCCAGTAATGCCACTCCCTATGGGGGCCATTTTCGTTCAAACCACCACACTATATATCTGCAAACCTTTTGATAGAAAGATATTTCTATTTAGTCATTTTTGTTAACAACCAAAAGCTAGAAATGGATGAAAGGACCATCTAAAACATCTACAAGAGAACAGACAGATTGGCACATAACTAAACAATGCAATTTTAAGCAGCCATAAAGGAAAAGGCTCAGGAGTGTGGCCCAGTGGTAGAGAGCTTGTCTGGCACACACCTTGGGTTCCATCTCCAACACATGCGCACACAGATGCCGACAGGGGGCTTTAGAATATGGCACTGTATCTCAGGTTTTCAAACCTGGCAGATAGCCTCCCTCTTCCACAGATGGAAGCAATGCTGTCTGGTCCTCCAGACATTTCTTTTGCTGGGCTAGCTCCCACGGAACACCGCCCCACCCTGCCAGGAGCTGCATACTCCCCTGGTCTATTCTCCTTTTGATCTTTGCTTTTCAAGCTGCGTTCCTCGGGACCTTCCTTAGGACCCTTCCAAGAAGATGCACATAGGCCCAATTCAGAGGACTCCAGTGATGGTTCATTGTCCCTAGATGGAAGTTAGCACCACCATTTTCCCCCTGTGGCCTGGATCCAACCACCTTAGGCCATGTGGGGCAAAGGGACACAGGAACACAAAACCTGGCACCATCTACCCCACCGACTCTGGCTGAATTCATTCTTCCTCCTGCTTGGGGCCCAGGGGGCCTTTCCCTATTAAAAGGGACTTTTACTATTGCCTTTATTTTGAAGTGTTTTGTGGAAAATTAAAAGAAGAATGTCTGCCAAGCAGGATCTGAGCCAGCAGCCCAGAAAACACTGTGTTTTCTTCCAAGCCTGGCCAGAGCAGGCTGGAATCGACCCAGCACTCCCCAGGCTCCTCTGCCTGCACTTATTCTCTGGGTGGCTCAATTCCTTTTAAGACACAAATTGATTGGGATAATTTCAGCTATAACTACAATTGCCATGGAAGGGAGGGTGTATTCAGGCTGGGGACTCCTACAATGACTGTGAACCGTCGAGTTACTGTAAAATGACCAGAAAATGGATTCAAAATTGAAGCCACAAATAATGTAATTACTGCAGTGTATGCGCAGGACTGCCAGGACAAGGTTGGCTGCTGCTCTGGGAACATCTGGAAGCAAGGCTGCTGTTGTTGCTGCTGATGACGCTGTGACAACCTCTGTCCTGGGCTTTGTTGGTAGCAGAGTTTTTCCATCCTATAAGAGTCTTAGAGAGTGGAAGAAACACGGGGGGACTAGAAAACAGATGTAGCGAGGGGGCAAGGAGAAAAAAGAAATGGAAGTCGGCCGGGAATGAGCCCAAGTAGGTCCAAACCCTGTACCTTTGGGAGAATGGAGTCTAATGTGACATTACTATCATCTGTCACCACCACAATTACTGTCATCCCTATCCATGCTACCACCTCTATCCCTACCTCTACTGCCATAGTATCCATGGTTGCTATGACAGCATCGTCATCACCACCAGTCTTGTCAACACCAACATCATCCTTCCTTCGGTCCTCAACACCATCATTTTCCTGACAACAACATCTTTAGCAGCAGCAGCAGCATCCCACAGGTACAGTGTTCCACAGAAGCCCATTTTTATTTCCTTTTCTCTCTCCACTCACATCTCTTGCCATCTCTGCTGGCTTCATCTCCATGACTAAGATGCCACAACATCTTTATCACCAGCAATGTCCTCCACACCAACATCAGCATCTCAACACTGTCTGCTACAGTGCATACCTTGTGCCTGTTCTACTGTCTCCTGTCTCAGTCAAACATGATGCTCAGCTCTTGGTCCAGGATAGAAGCACCACATATAAGGGTGACCATTGTCAGGATGGAAGGAGTGTTGCATCCTTGATTGCCTGTTTCAAGGTCAGAGCAAAGTGTGGGCCCGTGAAGCAGATTTTTGTGGGGGTTGGGGCAAGGGAATGGCACAAGTCTTTTTGTCTGTTTGCTTTTGTTTTTGTTTGGTTTTCGAGACAGGGTCTCTCTGTAGCTTTGGAGCCTGTCCTGGATATAGCTCTTGTAGAACAGGCTGGCCTTGAACTCACAGAGATCTGCCTGTCTCTGCCTCCCAAGTGCTAGGATTAAAGGCATGCACCACCACCACCACCCAGCTTCAGTCAAGTCTTTAGCCTGAACATCCTAGCAGGAATGTCTATCCCTTTAAAAATTATCATATTTGGGATGTGTGTGTGTGTCGCACACACACACACACACACATACACACACACACACACGTACTTGTGCATGCATGTGTGTGAAAGAGAAGGGGTGGACTGGGCACTGGTGCATCCATCAAGGTAGGAAGGGAAGACAGAATGTTTAACAATGTGTCAACTTTCCCAATGGTTCAGTATTTAGTCTTGAAGGCCTCCTTTTATGAATCTTTTAAGTATGGTTTCTATGGGGAATGGAGCTTAGGGGGTGTGAGGGACCTGGAGCTGCTGTTGGGGGCTAGGCCGTGATGGCTTCCCTAATAGGACCTGCAAATGCAGACATTCCCCATTCCCCAGGCAGGGGATCCTAAACTGTCTAAGAGTAGAGAACTGGAACTGAGCACAAGCAAGCGAGCGAGCTTGCGTATATTCATCTCTCTCTGCTCTTCGCAGCGGATGTGACATGACTAGCTGTTTGAAGCCACTGCTGTGACTTCCCCACCAAGACGGACTGTCACCGGGAACTGTGGACTAAAATAAGCCCATTCTCTCCTAAGTTGCTTTTAGGCTATTTTACCCCAGCCACAGAAATGAAGGTGGAACACAGGTCTGAGAGGCATCTTAAACATCCAGATGGTATCACTGAAAGAGAACAGAGGGGTTCATGTCAGATCTTAGGGAGCAGGCCAGGACTGACGGCAGAAGCTGGAGTCCCCAGTCAGTAGATGTTTGCTTTCCTATTTGTCTGGAAGGTGGGATGCCACCTACAAAGGCATCTTGGTTATATAGCATGGCTACAGGGTCAGGGCGCTCCACAGCTGGGTTCACAATTGTTCCGTCTTACATCTCTGGTATCAGATAGAGACTGTTACAGCCCCATTGCTCAGATGTGGAAACTGAGACTTCATGAGTTATCCCCTTCTCCCCCAGCTTGCCTCTGTATCTTTTTCCATGTGTTTATGATTGTCAAAATCACTGCCCACTCCCTATGGGCATGGCACCTCACTGACCCCGGTGTCCCCCTCCACTCTGTTTCAGCCTGTGACCAGTTGGCACTGGGTGTAGTAGCCATCTTTGGGCCATCGCAGGGCTCCTGTACCAACGCTGTTCAGTCCATCTGCAACGCCTTGGAGGTGCCCCACATCCAACTGCGCTGGAAACACCATCCCCTGGACAACAAGGATACCTTCTACGTGAACCTGTACCCCGATTATGCCTCTCTCAGCCACGCCATCCTCGACTTGGTCCAGTCCCTCAAGTGGCGGTCAGCTACCGTGGTCTATGACGACAGCACAGGTGGGTGGCTAGACCTGCGGAGCCCCAAGATTAGGGCTGTCTGCTTGTCTAGCATCACTGCCTCTGAGGAGAAGGTCACATCTCACCCAAGACACCAACAGAAGCCAGTTACACTGACACTTGTCTCTCACACCCATGCATGTGCACGCCAGCCTCACAAATACCTTATTCAACCCCAGCCTGGCTCACACCCGACTCTCCCCTCCCCAGCATGCCTGCATCATCTTCTGCAGCAGAGTGCTGAGACCTGTGATTGACGCTCGCCACGCATTGCCCCGTGCTCATACTTCAATGGCCACTCATCACTGGCCTGCGCCCCTACACCTGTACCCTGCCACCTGCAGGAGGCATGTCCCCATATATTTGCCGCACCCATTAATGGTTGACTCGCTGCGTGGCCTGGTGTACAGGGTGTTTGTGCCGTGCGTAAATCCCTGCTCTCCTGCCTGCTGGCTGGGCTGCCGTTCCGTGCCTTCACCTCCTCGTGGGGAGGCTCCAGAAGCTCCAGAATCAAGAGGGAAGAGTATATTTAGAAACCTCGTTCTCGGTGCAGGGGAGGTTAGCTCCTGATCATCCTGACACCTGCATGCAGCACCCTTCCCCCGTTTCTTTGCCTACTCTCAGACACCCCTGTTCATACCCCCACTGTGCTCAGATGCCAGCTTTCCTCCCTACTTAGGTGACTGCTGACCCCAGCCAATGCCAGGTCTGTAGAAATGAGCTCTGGGCTTGGGTCTCTTCCTCCGGTGAGGAGGAAGGAAAAGCCTGGGCTCTGAGTTTCAGCCGAGGCTGGACGCCCCTGGGGCAGAGGCGCCCTTCCTGCACTCTTGCCGTGCCCAGCTGGAATCACATCAGATTCGTTTGTCTGCAGAGGACCTGCTTAGCCCCATCCTGCCCAGCCACCAAATCTATCATGATACTCATGATACTCGCCTTCCAGAACCCTCTTAGGATAGTGTGTGACCCTTTACTTCCCAAGTCCCGGCCCCTTGGTATAGGCCCAGAGCAGAGAACCACCAAGGGCTCCAGCAAACATTCTGGGCCTTTCCTTTGGACCTTGTGATCTGTGACAAGTCTGCAGCCATCGTCTTGGCAAAATGTGTGTTATGGGTGATCAGAGAGAGGGTCAGGAGGAGAGAGGAGAAAACAACGACTGCCAGACCCTGCCTTCAGCTTCAGCTGCCCCTAGGAGGCTCACTCTCTGGAGACGGAGCAGGCATTCTTCCCGATGAGCGCACAGGAGACTGCTGTGTGTTCCCTGAGTCAAGCAGCACTGGGAGAGCCTCATTTAACTTCACAAGTCTCTCCGTGACTCTGTGGGGTGGTAAATCAGAAACAAGGCAACAGACAGATAAGGCAAGGTAACAGACCCCACCCACTGTCAACAGCCAGTATCTCAGCCCGCACCATCCTGCAGGCTTGTCTGAGCCCAAGGCCACGACTGTTAGCTAGCTTGGAGCTGGGTCCCCTTTCTTTCCAAAGACTTGACTCTCGAGACAATTCTTAACCCAGCCTCTTCTGCGACATTGACCTTGGCGAGTCACTTAACCCACCTGGCCTGGCTCTCCCCATGCCTGTGGAGAGGCGGAGCATCCAGCCTTGAGAAGCCCTCCGGCTCTCAGCTACCTGCATTCCGCATCAGCTCTTGATTGCTTCCAAATGGGGGGTGCGGATGGCAGGATGGGAGCCCGCAGACAAGAGGATCGGGATGCTGTCTATCCATCTCAGAGTTCTGTAAGCAGCTACCGCACTTCATGTTACCAGCAGTCCTTAAAAGCCATTCCTGAGATCCCAGCATGGGGCTCTGTCACCATGGGGCACTCCATGGTGCTCCGTCCCCTCTAGCAGCTCTGCAACTTGGTGGTCCTACCTTTCTAAACCAGTGGTTCTCAACCTTCCCAGTGCTGCTTCCCTTTAATACAGTCCCTCAGGTGGTGGTGATTCCCATACACACACACTATAAAAGTACTTTCGTTGCTACTTCATAACTGCAATTTTGCCACTGTTATGAATAGATATTTAAATATCTGATATTCGAGCTATCTGATATATGACCCCTGTGGGGGGGGGTCACGGCCCATAGGTTAAGGCTGCTGTAAAAACATCTGTCTGTGTTGTGAGCCCATTTCTGCTTCCAGATTTCTGCCTCTGGGACTCAGCACAAGGCTTGGTACAATGTGGACATTTTTAAAGCATTGGTTGAATTGACTTGGTGGGACTTGAAAATCATGTTGAATTAAACTCAGATGCCAGCTTCCTCCCTACTTTGGTGATTGCTGACCCCAGCCAATGCCAGGTTCGTAGAAATGAGCTCTGGGTTTGGGTCTCTTCCTCCCGTGAGGAGGAAGGAAAAGCGTGGGCTCCGAGTTTCAGCTGAGGCTTTCAGGAAACAGCATAAGGGTGCAGGAATGAAGAGACCACTACCCTATCGTTTGAGGAGTTGATCATATTCTAGGAGCGCAGGTGCCTGGCCATGGGGCACTGGTAATTCTTGGCCGTCAGAGCTGAGACTCGAGTAACAAGGACAGGTAGTCAGAGCTCCAGGTATGTGGGTGGAAGAGAGAGCTCAGTGGCCTTGGCTAAAGTGCGCTGTTTTACCAGAAGAGGACAGAGATTTGCCCTGGGCTTGAAGATAGAGGAACAGAAGGACAGAATAGGGCGTGTTGTGGGCATAGCAGGCAGAGGGAGCAGTGTGAGCAGAGGAGAGGAGGTGGGGCGGGGTGGGCAGTGTCATGGAGATGCCAGCCTGGCTGGGAGGAGGATTGAGTGTGGAGTGCGAGCAGGGCAAGGGAGACAGACAGGATTCGCCTGGCTGTGCAGGTCTGACATGCAGCCTCAGGCTTCAGATTTTATGTTGTGTGTAACAGAGCACTGCCGGGTGCTGTCGAGCGTGGCCTTGGAATAATGAAAGCCGGGTTTCAGTAGACGCCCCCGAGAGCCGAATGTGAGAAGGTTTGGAGGGAAAGCAAAAAGCTGGGGGGCTGGATGGTCCCCACAGGAACAAAGGAAGCTAGACTTCATCTCAAGGGGTTGCCTGGAAGAGAACTTGGGAGCGGAATGGAAGAGAAGAAACAGTTACGGGCGGAATGACTGTAGTGTCGCAGAAAAGTGGGCAGAGCGGATCCCAGCTTGAGCAATACTCTTCATTGAAATATTTCATTAACGTTTAATTCAATTTGATTTTCAACTTGTCTCAATTTAGTTCAGTTTAAAAGGTACTTATAGTGGAGGCAACGAGGATAGGGTTTGGTCAAGAAAACAGTGGGTTCTAGGATTCAGATCTGCATTGAACAGTAATATAGTGTTGAAAACTGGTAACGGGAAACCATACTTCTCTAAGACACTCACCAGGCTGGGCCACCACCAGGTGGGAAGCACAGTGTATTTAACAGGCTCTGAGTGTGTGTGGCAGGGCTATGTCCAGTAGCATGTTTTCACTGATGGGACGACCCAATTCAAATAACTCAAGTAATTGCCATTTAGTTTTCTTGTGGGTAGACGTTGTGAGCTGGGCCTTTCTCGGTGTCATTTAGCAGCTCAACAGGGTCAGAATGCTGTGTGGGTATTGTTACACCCCTCTTGACCTTCTCTTCCTGGGCCCAGTAGTGTGGCTGCAGCTCCAGACAACACCAGATGCTGACACTCCATGCAGGAAAGAGACAAAGGAATTTGTCTTAGTGTGACTCATAACCCTTACCAACCTTCTAGAAGGCAACATTCTACAGTTCATGGAGCCTATGCCTACTACTCCTGGGCACTGTCAAATGGAAGTAAGGTTGACAATGACTGGCTCCTAACAGGCATGAGGACTGGCACATTGCCACACTCCTTTTGGCATGCCAGCCGAGGATGCATCTGTTAGCTCTTTCTATAATAAGCTGTGTAACAAACCACCCCCCAAAATCCGGTAGCCTAAAACAACAAACATTGCTTTAGCTCCTGAGTCCACCAGGTCAGTGGCTTACTGGGCCTGATCAGCTGCTTCTTTAATTTCAGCTGGCTTGCTTGCCTGCCTGCTGGTAGCTCTAGGCTGCCCTTGGCTCTCTTCCATGTGGTTCTGTCCTCCAGCAGGCTAACCCGGCCATTGTTGTCCTAACTATGGCCAAGGAGCAAGAGAATCAGCCAGTGTGGAGTTCCATCATGCTTATTAATAGCCCACCGAACAAACCAAATGACAGTGTAGAGCCTGGTAGGCGGGCATTGCCCAGCTCTGTGCAGAGGGTATGAATCTAGGGAGGGGTGAGGAGTTTGGCTTATCCTTTTCACAGCAGTAGCCCAAGGAGAGTGGCTGTGCAGGAGGTGACCTTTGAGCTGTGTCGTGTTTCTACCTTCCTAATCCAGTCTGTGCACAAACTCCTGCCAGGGCTGAAAGGAAAAGATTGAGGGAGGGGGAAGGTCTTAGGGTGGAGAAAAAGGTCTCTGCCTAGAAGGCAAAACACTGCTCCTCCAACGCTGGTCCTGTTTGTGGCGTGGTTCAGAATTAAGGGAGGTCCCTTCACCTCTGTGGCCCCCCACTTCGTTATCTGTGCCACCAGCATGAAGGTGCCTGTTCTGCATGCCTCCCAGGATCCAGAGATGGTTAAACGATGCTATGAGCACAGAAGTGCTTCGTAAGTGAAAACTCCATCCCAACCACCGTGATTCAGTGCGGATATTCTGGGAGGGATTGATTAAGGAGGCAGGCAAAGGAAAGCTCGGTCTCAGGCAAGCATAGACAGCCCGGTCCTCTGGAGGTGGGCCAGAAGGAGCCTCGGTCTCCTTGGGGACTACAGCGATGGGAAGAGAGTCTGACATTTGCTGCTGGAGAATGTGGGTCGTTACACATTACAAGGGGTGTTGTGCTTGGTTGACAAGGCAGCCCTGGTGGTTTCCACTCCAGCATCCATCCTGTCCCCTTCCTCATGATCTGGGTCTCCAGAGCCCACAGGCCTGCTAATGCTGGACAGGAGTCAGGAAAACCGAGTGGGCAGGAATGAAGTGGGCATGGAGGGCCTTCAGTAACAGATATAAGAAGCCAGCAGTAGCAGTGGAAGAACCCAGAATGCCCGGAGAAGATGGAGTTTTTTGTGTGTGGCAGGGGTAGCTTGTGGGCCCTCATTTGCTCAAGTCTGCTGCTCCCCTCCCTTATCTACTCTGGTGTGGGGATCTCAGAGGCCTGTTTGAAGCAGAGTTCTTCTGCCTGTGTATCCAGAACCCATGAAAGTTTTGGAGCCCTTTGGGAGGTTTGGTTACAGCTTCTCTGGCACAGGAGGCTGATGGAAGCAAACCCCAGGAATGGGAGAACTAGATAGACTTACTCTGGTTACTAGGGGTTGTTTTGGAAACTGGGATTCCATTAGAAAGATCCTAGAGTTGAAAGACAGAGAGATGCTGTCTAGATAGGAAACAATGTAATAGGTGACCGTGAAGTGTATTTCAGCGCACATTAGCTTAAGAAACAGGCATGTGTATACACGCGTGTGTGTGTGTGTGTGTGCGCGCGCGTGCATGTGTGTTTCTTTAGAATCAACATTTTGTTGTTTGTTTGTTTGTTTTTGAGACAGGATTTGTCTGTGTAGATCTGGCACTAGCTAGCTCTGTAGACCAAGGCTGGCCTTGAACTCACAGATATCCACCTATCTCTGCCCCCGAGAGCTAGGATTAAAGGCTTGCGCCACCACCGCCCAGGCTCTTGTGTATATGGTTCTTATTGGTAGCCTTTTACTCAGATTTTGGAGGACAGCATCAGTTTACCGTACTGTTTGACCCAGAGGTTAAAATAGGTACCATTAGGACATGTTTCCTCCCCTTTCCATCTTCTCTGACATCTGCCCCAATGGATCCTATCTCTGGTTATATGCGTGGACCCCAGACTTACATCCTCCTTGCTCACATAGAAAGGGTTGTTTCTTACCTGCCACTAATTAATCACAGAACCCCTGTGTTCCAATTCCCAGTGAATGTGCTGATTGGTTAGGTTGGGGCCATGCACTTTGTTCCCTGAGTAGGGATGGATCCTTCCTGGGTATATGAACATGGGGTAGGGAGGAGGTGCTCACTCAAGGAGAGCTGCGATAAGTGAGCTAGGGGTGGAAGGTGGGTGTGCGAACCTGGGCAGCTGCTGAGCCCGAGCTGAGGGCACAATGCAGGAAGGGAGCATGCACCTCCGGATCAGGCCTCCTTCAGTGGGCCTGGGTAGGAGCGGAGGAGAGCGTCTAGCAGCCTCCCTCCCAGAATCCACAGAGGAGTCAGCAAGAATGGAGCTTGAAATAGGGGAGGAAATGAACTTAATTAGACCTAAGCAAGCCATTTGTCTCCAGGAAGTGGCATTCCGTTTTCCGTGGAAGTCCCCAGATTAAGTGGTTTTACAAAATGCCAAGGAGGAGGATAGATTTTTCAATGTGGGGAGAAGAAAACAGTAAGTCAATCCAATTACAGCAATGTTGTTTGAGTACTCCCTAAGTGTCACGGCCCTGGGCCAGGTGCTATGGGGCACTAGTCGTGGCAGAATGAGGAGGGGATGGGGATAGGAGGGGATAAGGGTAGGCAGAGGAGACTAAGGGAAGAACCCTCTAAGCTGGTGTGGATATCGGGGGGGATGTTTGAGGGTAGGGAACCCTTTCTGAACAGAAAACAAGGAACGCTTCATGGAGGTATCCGAGTAGATGCCCGCAATGTTTTATGCATGCATGTACATGCGTGTCTTCTGTGTCCTGGGCTCCCCAGGTCTCATCCGGCTGCAGGAACTCATCATGGCCCCATCTAGGTACAACATTCGCCTGAAGATCCGCCAGCTCCCCATTGACTCGGATGACTCACGCCCCTTGCTCAAGGAGATGAAGAGGGGCCGGGAGTTCCGCATCATCTTCGATTGCAGCCACACCATGGCAGCCCAGATCCTCAAGCAGGTGGGTGAGCGCTGTCCAAGCTGAGGGGTTGGGGTGGGGGCTTTCCATGGCTCCTTTATTCCAGGTACAGAACTTGACCTCAGTGAGCATCCTAGCTGTCTCTCTGGCTGCCTGTGTGACCGTGGGGGCCGCTACAACTCTGCCTCAGTAGCACCAGCAGTACGATGGTTCTTTTACTCCAGCTGTGCTTTATATAAAGGTCATAGTTATTCCTTAAAATGTTCTGGTAACTGGAGGGACTTTGACACTTGATCAAGAAAAGCATAGGAGTCAAAGACACAAGGTGATGCGGGTCTTTCGAGAGAAGGGGTTGGTAAGCAGGGACTGGGACATTTTCAAAGCCCTGAGGGGCTCAACCACCACCCTTCATTTGGTGTACCCATGCTGACTGGCAACCTCCATATCTATGCCCTGCAAAGGAAGCAGAGACAGGAGGATCATGGCTCAAGGCCAGCCTGGGCTATATAGTGACATGCAGTGTTAGGAGAAAGACAGAGACTATATGAGGCCTGGAGATATAGCTCAGTTAGTAGAGTACTTACGTATAATACACAAGGCCCCAAGTTCAGTCCCCTGTACTACATAAGCCACGTGTGGTGTGGCACATGCCTGTAGTCTCAACAGTCAGGAGACAGAGACAGGAGCATCAGAAATTCAATGTCATCCTCAACCATCCTGCAAGTCCAAGGTCAGCTTGGGATACAGGCAACCTTGCCCGGGGGGGTGGGGGGTGGGGGATATTTTCCTATTGTCCTGCCTCTTCCATGCTGCATGAGGGAGTCGTCACCACCATTACCACCTCCTTCGCTGTGGGCAGAGTTCATCCATAATCCCTCCTCAAACAGCTCTGAGGGTGTCAGTGAGACGGGACGGCAGAAATGGGAGTTCTGGTATTGAGCCTGGAGAGGCTCTAGGGTCCCCATTGGGGATACCTGCGCAGAAATCCTGTAACCTTCTCTGTCCTAGGACGTCCCCTCTCTTCCCTGCAAGTGTGACATTATGATCCTCAGAGGATTGGCTATCAGAGAGTCACTCAGCAGTTATCTGTCCCTCCTCATTGACCCTGGAAGCCCGGGATTATTATTACAGCCTTGACAGGTGAAGAGACCAAGGCTGAAGGAAAGGCAGCCGGCCTGAGGTCATCCAGCTAGGAATTCAGATTAATCCCGGGGCTGGCTGCCTGCAAAACATCCAGAGTTACAGATGAGGACCCTGGGCTGAGCTAAAAGTGGATTAAAGGAGGTTGAGGCCTTTCCGGGCTGCTGGCCTCTTCCCAGCCCTCCCAGCAGGATCGCGGTGACAGAGAACATGCAGCAGTTCAAGGTCTATTTGACCCTGTGACATTTTCCCCAAGAACCCGTGGTGGGCCCTGCTTTCTGAGGAACTCTGTAGAAAATGCATTACAGTCATTAGTGTTATAGATTACAGGCTTCTAATAAAACACACAAGATACATCACAGAGAGACCTCGTGCGGCTCTGCACTAAGATCCCAGAGGAGCCTGTGGTATGTCTTGTGGCCTAATGGGATCAGGGAAGCATGGAGGTTTCATTGCTCCTGGGGGACACTCTTGCTAAGGACATTCCCCTCGAGCCTGGCTGACTGGGAGAGTCCCGCCATGTAGAGCCAGGCTCTTGAGACAACTCAAGCTTCTGTCAGGATGTCTCAGTGAGAGACCCCGGAGACACTGACTGAAAACCCAGACAGCTGGGCGTCTCCCTGCTGCCCTGCAGAACTGGGGACTTTGGGAGAATGTGGCCCCAAATCCCAGCCTGGAAACTCCCGCAGGTGATTTGGTTACACACCGCAGCGGGAACCTGCTGCGGTCTGCCAGCCGATCTTCGTCTTAATCCCAAGGTCTCAGTGGATGCCCTAGGTCTGAGCCGACAGCGTCACACAGGCCTGGCCCTCAACTCCCCCGCCCCTGGCGAATGGAGGGCTGCCGGAGTGTTCCGTGCCCCTGGCTAACACTCTGCTTCCCCGCAGGCCATGGCCATGGGCATGATGACAGAGTACTACCACTTCATCTTCACCACGCTGGTAACGTACCATCGGGTCCTGTGAAGAGGGGTGGGACCTCCCTGGGCCAGCCTGCTGGGGACAGTGCCGTAGCTGGAGCAGACCCAAGCCTTCTTAAGGCTGTAGATGGTGCTCCAGGTGAGGCCACCATGATATCTCTGTGAACTGCCCACTTTTGAAAAGTCACGGGCCTGGTCTCTGGAGCCAGAATGGCGAACAAGCCCTCTGCTGACTAGTGTGGGCACCCTGGGTAAGTCACCAGACCTTTTGTGCCTCAGTTTCTTCCTCTGCAAAATGGGCTTCTACCCCTTTGGGAGGCCTAGCAATCTGATCGGGACCAGGGGTGAGAGCAGAACTTGGTTGGTTTAGTGGAGAGTGGCCATTAGCACTCTTTAGACTGTCCTCCCATCCACACCTGTCAAAGGTCTCCCATCACACCTGGAATGACCACCTTGGATCCTGCACCATCTATTCTGAAGTCACTGGGGCCAGCCCACCTACTGGCTCCAGATGGGTCCTGTCCAAACTCTGAGAACATGTAGGGCCATTTGAACCCATTAGAATAATTAGTTGTGATCCGAGATCAGCAGAATCATGGTGTCCTGTGCCAAAGAGGGCGCCACTGCTGAGCAGCCTGGCCGTGGCTCCAGCCGCATCCCCTCCCCACTCAGGGACCTGTAGCCCCACCCCTGCGGCCATACAATCCTCTGGATGATTTCTTCATTCTTAGAGCTCCGGCCCCCGGTCTTTACCCTGCATCTGGGCTAGGCTGGTGATTTCAAGATGGCTAGGACTGAGACCTTCCAGTCTGTCTTCCTCGACAGATCTGGCTCTGAGACAGCTGGCCTTTGACCTTGGGCAGACAGCCACAGGTCACAGCACGAGGAGATGTTAGGAGTTGTAGGGCTGGTAACAGGTAGGAAGCTTGAGGCAGACTTTCTCGAAAAAGCAGGTGCTTGAGTCAGGCCGTGATGCCTCACTAGGAGCTCACGAACAGGTGGGGGAGACGGGAAGGGTATTCTGCACCGAGGCAACAGTGTGAGCAAAGGCCAGGAGGCAGTTAGCTCTTGAGCGATGTGTTGGAGTTGGGTGGCACTCGAGTTGGAGAATCAGCCATGCTCTCACAGCTCCATGATGTATTCTTAGCTTGCAGTCGGTCACGTGAGCACTTACACCACAACCGTGGCCCACTGCTGCCAGCAAGGGTTTTTCTCTCCAACACGGGGTAGTCACCAGCACGCCCTCATTGTCACACAGCTTCCATTCACAACACCCCGTGCCCATGAAGAGCTCAGGACCCACTGTGCTGAATATAAATCAGTCCTGGGCACCTGATGAAAATGCGGTGGGGAGACAGGGACCCTGAGAACTGGGGACTGAGACCAGGTACCTTCTCCCTAAGGGCTCACCGCACCCCAGTCTCTATCTGCCATTCTGTGTCCTAGAAAGAAACCAGGAGTTTAGGGCAAAGTGCTCAATCCCTGGCAGTATTCTGGGCCAAGACTAGAGAGAGCAACGCCTTGGCCCCAATGTCTTCTGCAGTAATGCCATTTTCCACGGAGGCCAAGATCAAAGGTCTCAGCAAAAGCATTCTAGCACCCCAGACCTCTCCTCCAGCCCCACACAGTGCCCGTTTATCCTAGACCTGGCTTCATTGATGCGGCTGTTCATCTTTTCATTTACCCATCTGCGAATGCCGAGATCCCTGGCTCTCTGGGAGGGATCTGATCTGGAAGGATGCACAGAGATGGACCCTACACAAAGCTCACACACAGGCTCCGAAACTTCCTTCTGTAAGCAAGGCTATCTGTCTGGAATGCCCGCGGAGAAATGCCCACAGAGTGCCTGACCTGCAGCAGGTGCTCGGTGATGCCCGAGTGGGAGATGAGTGGGTCAGCATGATCGGTACTCAGCATCCCTTGCCACGGGCAGCTAAGACCATGGACTCTGGTGTGTCTGATCAGGATTAAGATATTTCATTGTTTCGGGTGAAGGAGTAGGAGATGGCTCAGGGGTTAAGAGCACTTGATGCTCGAGCATGGGAACTGAGTTCCAATATCCAGAACCCACATTAAAAAGCTGAGTGTGGCTGCGCACACGCTTGGAACCTCAGCAGTGGCTGTGGCAGGTGGGGACAGAAGGTTCCTGTGACTTCCCGACCTCCTGCCTGGCTCCAAGTTCAGTGAGAAACCCTGCACCAAAGATGGAGATGATAGAGCAGGTCACCTAATGTCTTCCTCGTGTACACACCACATACATACCACTCACATACACTCCCATACACATACACACACATACCAGCACCACCACAAAGATGCCTCACTTCCTTAAACAAAGGAAGTCCTTCTCTTTGCCTGATGCCTGTATCTATAAAGCAATGACAATAGCCGTGTTACTTGCTAGGGCCAGTGTTCAAAGCATTGACAGTGGCGAGGGCTAGAACAACACTTAGTATTTACTATCATGTAAGTGTCAAAATAAACCCATGAAGCCCCTCCTGCTTTTGCTTCCTGTGTGTCCTCCATCCCTCAAAACAAGCATCCGTAGGAACTATGACTCTTCCATTTCCCCCCCAAAAATGGAAACTGAGGCTCAGAAAGGGGATTCGGCAACAAGCAGACGGCAGGCGTTCCTCCAGCACCAGCTTTCCAGCTTCCAAACCCTCTGCCGACAACTGTCGCCGCAGTGTCTGCAGCCTTCTCCCGCAGATAGACTTTTCATGATGCCTGGTCATAATGGTCCAGCACAATGACTGACACTAATGGGGTAAACAGAGCCTTCACAAATCCCAGCAGCGCCCCCACTTTTGTCATTTGCCTGCATCCTCTGATTTTCCCTTCGAGGCCACAAGGGGAAGTGTACTTTCTGTTCCACACCAAGAGAGATGGCATGACTTGCCCAGAGTCCCACCGCATCAGTGATACTGGCGTAGGCTCCCACTCCCACTCTTGCCCGTGGCTGCTCCGGGGCGCTGCTCTTCCTTCTGTTCCTTTCGGAGGCATAGGAGACTCTTCCAGGAAGATGTGGCCTCCGTGATTCAAATAGCTTCCTGGTGGAATGTGTGTCGGGTGTCCTCCAGGTCAATCCCAGTGGCCCCCACCTGTCAGAGCATCCCCTGTGCCTCCCTCAGTCCTCGTCCCTGGCCACAGCCTGTTGCCAGCTTCAGGAGCTTCCTTCCAGCCCTGTTGGCTCAGTGCTCTACCTCGTGACTCTCTCTTTCATGCCTATTGGTCAGTGGTGGCTGTGTTGGGAAGGGGAATGGCATTTGGCATTTGTCTTCGGATAGGCACATCATCAACCCTTCCTCTCAAAAAAATGTCTCCAAAGTCGCTTCTCCCATGCAGAAGACGTTTTAATTACCCCAGCTGCCATTATCGGTGTCAGCCAGCTTTGAGCCATTCCCAGATAACCCTGTGCTAATCAGCCCCAGCTGAGCCCCTGGTGCATGGTATATGTAGGTAAGAGCCTGGAGGTGGAAAAAGAGAGAGAGAGAGAGAGAATTATAATAAATTAATAGATAAGCAATCACAATTAATGCCACTTCCCGGCAATAACAGTTACATCATGGGAAAGATATTTTCATCTGTCGTTCCTTGAGGCCATGTTTTCCGAGCATCGGCTTCTTCCCATTCAGACCCATGGGGTGCTAATGAATTAGTCTATTATGTTATGCTGAATGTTTCTAAAAGGTCCCCAGTCGACACTGAATTCAGTGTGTCAACATTTGGCATCGGAAATGCAACTTTTTGCCAAGCTGCAAAGTTGCCCACAGTTCACCGTGTTGAGCACTTAGGGTCTTGGCCCAGGGCAGTTTGAACAAAAAAAACAGTAACAGGAGCTGGAAAAAGAGGCCTCTTCACCAGCTCCTCACTGTCACTGCCCTCTTGTCATAGGGATGGGGGTGCTCAGCATCGCTAGCCCTCGGAGGCTTTGCAGGAAAGCCCAGACCAGAGAATGGTGTGAATGGCAGCCTTGCCGCCCAGGAGAACCTGCTACGATTTCAATTTAGAATGTCCCTGACCAGCTCAGCTCCTGCCTTGCTATTTTCTAGGAGGCGGGGTTAGCTGCTAGAAACAGGTCTTCAAGGTCATACCCAACCCCTGGTTCTAGCCTTCCTTTCTGCTTTCGGGTGTACCATGGCGTGAACAGTTGTTGAAAGACACTCCCACCTCTGTGATGTCGACTGCTTTTCCGTCCATTCCCCCTGACTGCGATGGGATGGAGCTGTCTGAAACCATGAGTTGAAATAAACCTTTCTTCCCTCGATTTTGTCACTGCTATAGAAAGAAAAAAAAAGCAACTAGCAAGCCCTCCCCAGCTGTGGCTGTCTTGTCCGATCAGATGCTGCTGCTAGGGACTGGAGAAGGCAGCTTCAGTAGCACACAAGCCTCCCTACCAACGCAGAAACACCATCCTTCACACTGAATTCGGTCAACTTCGGGGCCCAGGGGTGGGTAAACTGAGTCAGATGCCCTGGGAAGGCTACTGTGTTAGCATCCGCCACATCTTAGACAGAGGCTGAGCCCCATGTCAAGAAGGGTGAAGATGGCAGCCATCCTGGTTGGGTCCCGGCAGCTCTGCTCCGGCCCCAAACTTGCATACACTATTGCAAGGCAAAATCTGCCTAGCTCTCCAGACCTTTCTGGAAAGATCTCTAAGACCTGGATCTTGAAGCAAATATCCATTGGAGCTCATCTTCCTTCCCAGTCAATTCACCAAGCTACGCCCACTTACCTCCTCACAGAGAGCTTCCTCCGAAGGGGAGGTAAATATTTAAACACCCAGGAAGTTACTAGCCAGGCTGATGGTTCTTCCCACAACGGGAATCAGAATGCCCATAGAGCTAGATCATAACTGCTGCTGCCTGCGAGGGTAAACACTTGAAAATCCCAGCATCAGAGCTGGATCTCTGATAGACCTTGTGCGTATGTAAAGAAACAATCAGGGGAGGCTTCTAGGAAGCGGTGATGCTTGTGTGAGTCTAAGAGAGCGGCTCACAGGCACTGTGAGCTCCACGAGTCCGGTGACTGGGGTATCTACAACATGTCTGACTTAGGATGAGAAGCTAGGGTAGGTAGGACAAGGCAGAGGTAGTTCAGTCTTCATGGAGTGAAAACTGGGGATGGGTACAGGAAAACAGGATACAGGGGTAGTTTCTGATCTATGCTAAGGAGTTCGTACTTTTTCTTTTTTTCTTGCTGAGTGGGTATGTGACAGAATGCCATAGTTTGTGTGAGCCACAAACAACAAGACTTTTTCTAGCTCACAGTTCTGTGAACTGGGAAGTCCAGGAACATGGTGCTGGCCTCTGGAGAGAGGACCTTTAGGCTTCATCATAGTATCCATGTGACTATTGGACACGGGACCAGGAACTTGGCCTTTAGAAGCAAGCCTTCCTCTCCCATATAACCTCTGGAAGTATTGCTAAGGGCAGAGACATTGTGACTTAATTGCCTCTTCTGCAAGTCACCCCCAACTCAGGTATCTTTCCTCACCTATAAAATGAAAAAGGAAGTTGCTGTGGAAGCTAAAACGGTGTGATGGTCCCCATAGTCACTCTCCACTGAGGTCAGTACCATTCAGACACTCTCTGGCCACTTTAGTGTGAACTCCCTTCCCTTCAGCCTCCTGCTCTTACCCAGCGTCCTCCCCATCCTAAACACTGACCTGGAAGCGGGACCACATAGTGAGTTGTTCCGTGATGGTCATAGCATTCACAGGGAGATGGCTTCAGGACCTCCTTGGATAGTAACTTCCGTAGATGCCCATCCATAGGGTTTCTATTGCTGCCGTGAAACACCCTGGCCAAAAGTGACTTGGGGAGAAACTTACCCTTCCACATCCAGCCCAAGGAGGAAAGAAGTCATGGCAAGGACTCAAACAGGGCAGGAACCTATGCAGAGGACAGAAAGGAGTGCTACTTACTGGCTTGTTCTCATGATGTGCTCCGCCTGCTTTGTTATACACCCCCAGACTACCTGCCAAAGGACAGCCCCACTTGCTGTGAGCTGGGCTTTCCCACATCAGTCATTAATCCTGACAATACCCCATAGCGTTACCTACGGGCCAATTTTAGGGAGGCATTTTCTCAATTGTGGTTCTTTCTTCTCAGATAATTCTACCTTGTGTCAAGTTGACATCAAACTAGCCAGCACAATGCTCAAGCCTCTTGTATACAATTGCATCGTATTTACATATTACTAATACAGGCTCTTATCTCCCTTAAGTCAACTCCAGATAGCTTACAGTACCCAGTGGGATGTAAATGCTGTGTAGTGCATGATTTTGTTAGGGAGTTGTGGGGAGAAAGAAAGTCTTCGTGTTCAGTATAGATGGGCAATTAAAATAAATCACACACACACACACACACACACACACACACACACACACAGAGTTGGTTGAATTCATAGATGCACAGCCTTAGAAGGCTGGCCGTATTTGTTTGGGCATGTCAAGATGAGACTTTCTTGCCTGGACTCCAAGCCCTCCTCTTCTCTGCGAAGGGGACATGACTGCACACAGAGCCTTCCAGAAAGGGTCCACCTGGGAATGCAGGAAGGGCAGGAGTTTAGCACCAAGAAGGAGCGTCTCAGAGCCCACAGGATGCCCAAGCATTGCACGAGATCTATTCTATGGGCTCCAGCCTGTGCCCCTTTTATTATCTAAGGTTGGCACTAGGGTAGGAGTGGAGGTGGGGGTGGGCTTCAGGTTCAAGGTAGAAGGCGGCTCAGTGAAGATAAGTGGGAAGGTACAGAAAAAGGACTCGGTTTCCCCAGTCCTGGCTTGCAGCCAGCCAAACATTGTCCACGTTATTTATTTTTGAAAATCAAAACAGCAGTCTGAAGTGTATATCTGAACGCGTTTCTAAGTCTGGAGGGAACAGTCCTGTGGTGAAGCTGGGTATTTGAGGGATGGGGCGAGTAGCAGGGCCTTAAGGGGGAAGGGACATAGAGTGGAACAGCCGGGTTCCATACAAACTAGATTAATCTCCTGCAAGGCAATAAAACCTCAGCCATAGGGATGACCTTTTGCGCTGGACACAAATCTCATGTTAAGCAGAAGTTTGGGCATTAACAGCAGTTCCCGACCCAGCGGAGTTAAGAAGCCCCCAGTGATCCGGAAGCAGCCATTCCCTGTATTGAAAGCACATAATGTTTCTCTTGTGTCTCCTTGAGTTTGGAGGCATTTTGAACCTGCGGTGCTTGGCTCGACTCCTGCGAAGGCTAACTACCCCCTCCATACGCTGTCTTCTCTGCTAAAGGGCAGCTGGCTATTTCCACTGCCTTACCTCTTGGCTCCTTGCCTCACCAACCCATTGGCCTGTGCTGGGGTTGCAAAAGAAGCCAGGGCTGGTTGGGCTTTAATATCCTGTTCTCCTGGGCTGTCAGCCAAGGCCTGCCCATCTACCAGGCTGCATGGGACCTGACCATGGAGAGTCCTCTAGACGACTATCCTAGGAGGCAGCGTGAAAAGGCCCTGCCTGAGACTTCCCCAAGAGTCAGGGAAGAAGGTAGTGGATTTCTTTGGTCCCCATTTGGACCCCTCCGTGAAAGGGAAAAAAATACTCTGGTCTTTCTGCCTCCTTCAGTGTTACTTGAAGATGCCCAGACCCAGCACCCTTCATCCTCCCAAAGTGGGAGGGTTCTTCTGGGTCCTATAAAGTGACCCCCATTTTGTAGACGAAGAAACAGGGTGACGACTCCCATAGTCAGCATGTAAGGGTCAGTATCAGGAGATCCGAGGGGTGGACTCTGCTCAGTCACTCAGTGGGTACTTCAGCCAACTTTCATTCAGAGGGCTCTACGGGGAGCCACAGCTCAGGCCCAGGGGTGCCCAGGTCCAGAGGGTGAGGGAGGGGGATGGGGCCAGCCCTTAACCTCATCAGGCGCTCTCTCTCTCTCTCTCTCTCTCTCTCTCTCTCTCTCTCTCTCTCGTCAGGATCTCTATGCTCTAGACCTGGAACCTTACCGCTACTCGGGGGTGAACCTGACCGGGTTCCGCATCCTCAACGTGGACAACCCCCATGTCTCAGCCATTGTGGAGAAGTGGTCCATGGAGCGGCTCCAGGCGGCTCCCCGGGCAGAATCTGGCCTGCTGGATGGAGTGATGATGGTAGAGTGGGCAGACGGGTGAATGGACCCAGGGGCTCTTCTCCCTCCCTCCCTCCCTCCCTCCCTTCCTCCCTCCCTCCTTTCTCGTCCTGCTTTCCTTTTTTCCTTCTCTCCTTCCTTCCATCTCCCTATGCAACACGTCTTTTTGTAAGATCTACCATATATCAGTTAGAGCCCCGGGGACAACCATCCCACCCCAAGGGCCACCTCTGATGGAGCCAGTGGATTACATAGAAAAGAGCTAAAGACTATGGGGACTTAGGGTGTGACTGGCAGGAGGTGTGAGACTGAGGAGACAAGAAAGGAGTAAGAAGTGGGTGGAATTAGGTAACAGGTTGGGCAGAGGGTCTAGAGAGAGCCTGAGCTGCAGAAAAGAGTATGGCGCTGGGGTCGTCATAGACTCATAGGACCTCTGAGGTAAAAGGACAGGGCTCCCTCTGGGCCTGCGGACCTGCCCTCTCCCAGGACACTGTGAGCTTGTAGTGGGAGAGGGGTAGGTAGGGCAGGAGCCCAGGTGCAGCAGCCTCAGCCCTCAGGCAGGCCTGTGCCCTCTGCAGACCGATGCGGCCCTGCTCTACGATGCTGTCCACATCGTGTCCGTGTGCTACCAGCGAGCGCCGCAGATGACCGTGAACTCCCTGCAGTGCCACCGGCACAAAGCCTGGCGCTTCGGCGGCCGCTTCATGAACTTCATCAAGGAGGTGAGTCCCATGCCCTCCCCGGCATGCCCCCTGTGGCTGGGGAGGAGCAGAGAGCTGGAGTGCCCAGGTGTGGCACTCAGAGCGAAGTGGTTTTTGTTACACACAGACTCCAGCAGGTCGCTTCACATTTCCGAGCCTCAGTTTCCCCAGTCGCACAGGGGACTGGGAAGCCTGGGAGAGCCAAGGATCCTTTCTCAACAGTGTCCTTGCTGCTGTCACTCTGGATGCAGGGTCTGCCTGTGGCTCCCATTTACAGACAGATACACTCAATCCGGGCCTTGGATGCCAGTGCATTGCAGCTGGCTGAGTGGCTTGGTGGGATGACCACCTCTCCGATCCTCAGTTCACGATTGTTGGGAAGACAGTAACACACAGGGTCTGACCAGCATCTCGTCTCGGTTCCTAGCAAGACAAGGCTAAAAGGATGAGCTCTAGGCAGGGCTATCCTGGGCTAAAGTGAGTGGGTGAGTGGACCATGACCAACACCAAGGGGCTCAGGTGGAGCCCTCTAGGAAGGTTCAGATTCTCTCTCTCTCTGTATGTGCATATGCCTGTGTGTGCGTGCACATGTGCATGCATGCATGTGAGTGTATGTATGTGTTCAGAGACTAGAACAGAAAGAAACAAGCTAATTTCTTGGAGTTCTTTCATCTCCTGACAGCCGTGGGCCAAGGGTTGATCTCAGAGCTGTGCCCTCCCCTGAGACAGCAGGTGTCACAGCCCTGATTTTTCAGTCACCGTCATCTATAGTTACTCTAAGTTCGTTTCAGATAATGGGTTCCAGTCAGAGGGTCTGCAGCCCACACTGCTTTAGGGACCCCACCCTTTCATCCCTTGCCCCTTGGAAAGCACAAGGCTCAGCCATGAATGCCAAAGGGGAGCAGATTCCCCACTGCCCAGCCTAGAAAGAGAAGTCCCATTCCCCGTCCCAGGTTGGGACAGACACTCCTTCTGTTCTCCGGTGGGCCCTGGGGGGCAGCCAAGAGTAGCCAGGAAATGCTCATGGTCTGTAGCTGGCCACTTCCAGAACCCAGGTACCCTGCAGAGCCCAGTCTTCCCTTTGTCCACTTCCAAGTTGCCCATCTCCCTGTCTGACTGCGTGACAGTAAATCATTTTAAAGACTTGGCATTTCCGAGAGGAGCTGGAAAATACCAGGCCGGAGTTCAGAGCGTGTGAAGCATCTTTCATTTAGCGAGGCCTGAGCGGCTGCTAGAGGGGGCGGGTGGGCAGGGAAATGTCACGGGGAGGAGCTGCCCGTGGCTCCCTGCCCTGCCCCTGCCCACCCGCCCACAGACAGGCCGCACCTGCTGGCATTTAATTCCTCTGCCACTGACAGGGAGGAAGGCCTCTTCTGTCTGAGCAAAGCTGCTGAAGACACCTGCTGAGATTTCCCTGGGGGCCAGCAGATAGCCAGAGGGTGTGGGCTGCCACAGAGAGCTGGAAGCCAGAGGGATGGGAGAGCCAGCCTGAGGGAAGCCCAGCCTCCCTGTGAAGTCATAAACAGAGCAGTTCACCTTCTCTGATGTGGTTTTTAATATCTGTCCCCTTGGCTCCCAGCTTCCCAGGCTTTCACGTGTGTGTGTGTGTGTGTGTGTGTGTGTGTGTGTAAACACACACATGTGTTCCTGTACGTTTGTGTGTGTGTGAGGATACATGCATGTGTACCTGCGACTGCGCATTCGTGTGTGTGTGTGTGTGTGTGTGTGTGTGTGTGTGTGTGTGTACATTCATATGGAGACCAGAGGTAGATGTCAGGTATCTTCCACTATAACTCTCTACCTTGGTTGGTTTTTTGAGCCTGGCTCTCACTGAACCTGGCATTCACTGTTTAGGTGGGCTAGCTGACCAGTGAGCCCTGAGATCCACTCACCTCCACCCCACCCACACCCAGGGCTGGGTTCCTGATGCCTGCAAGCACACCTGGCATTTTTATGTGGGCATTAAGGATCTGACTCAATACCTCATGCTTCCGTATCAGGCATTTTACTAACTGAACTATCTCCTTGGTGCCTTGGTTCATCTTTGAATCTAGTATTCTCCTCTGGGAAACAGAGACAATGATGAGCCCACTTTGCAGGGTCACAGTGGAAGTTCAGTGGGCTCCCTAAGGGTAGGATTGTAACTCTCTGCTCTAAGTTCCCTCATTGAACCTGGCTGTGGCCAAAGTTCTTCTCTTCCTCCTTTGAGGACCAGCTACATTTCCAGGAGACCCTGAGGCTCCAGAACCCACAAAGGAAGTGTGATAACCCGTAACACTTGTCATGATCATACATGATCATACACACAGGCCTGGTACTGGGCACTTCACCCACCTCTTTAAGGACCTGCACATCAGTGGGTTGTTAGATAGATTGAGCCTCTTTTGTTCTGTGACCTTCTGGGGCTCCAGGATGTTGCCTCCGAGTTAGGACACCTTTTGTCCATCTGCTCTTTTTGGGGTGGGCAGAGAAGGGCTTGAGACAGAACCTCAGTAAGTAGCCCAGTTCACAAACCTCCTACCTCTAACCCAACTATCATCTACTATTATTTGTATAAGTCTATAGGGACTCCGAGCTGCCCAAGAACAGGGAGACCCTCTAAGTCTTTAGGTGGGATCCAAAGCTAAGATTCTGGGCCTGGAAACTTGAGAAGTGGTCATTTGGTGGGTGCCGATGTCCACTCCAGGGAGAGGCTAGGAGCCCAACTCAGAATAGAGGGTGAACAGGAACCTGTTATGCCCAAACCAGCACTCGGCCAGATTACCAGAATTCAGACCCCCTGCTGTGCACACCTCTCCTGGATACCTAATTCCTCCCCTCCACTCACTCCTCTGACGGAGTATCCCCCACAGGCTGTTTCCCTCCTATTTCCCAGGACCCCAGGACGGAGGGTGGGTCCTCTTCTCCCAGATGCAGAAATCTAACTGTAAAATATCCACCAACATCAGCCCCAAGGAGAACCCCAAGGGGTCCAAACCAAGTGGTGAGGCCCTGGGACCAGGGGTCTAACTTGGCTCTGCCTATTATGTAGTCCAAGCTTTGGGGCTCCCAATACCATCTCCCTCCAGGCCTGTTTGCCCATCTGTAACATGGGAATCATGATCCTCACTGGGCCAACTCTCAAGGCTGCCTGGGAAGTTGAGTGACACCAACTATGGGGTCGTGTCTTATGGCGTCATCTCTCTGGCTAGGGCCGTGACTCCACTCGTGAAGGGCTGGCTACTCAAGTATGAGAATCAAAGCTAAAGTCCCCAGCACCACCTATAAATCTGGAACAGTGGAGATCTGTAATTCCACTGCTGGGAAGGCAGACAGATGGGTCCATAGGACTCCCCATAGACAGGTGGGAATAGCTGTGGGTTCAAACACAGGCTGTGGTCAGACTGGCCCATCCTGGCCTAGAAGATAGTCTGCAATAAGTTACACCTGCCTCTCTTTGCGTTCATGACAACAGAATGGCAGAAGTTTCCATTTATCCAGGCCTGCATTAGGCCACGCTCTCCTCTCTGCTTTCCCTGGCTTATTTCACACTCATATTTTGAAAAGATGGATACCACAACTAATTCCATTCTATAGCCAAGGAAACTAAGGCAGAGAGTGCTCTAGGTCACAGGTAGTGGAGTTGAACCCAGCAGTTGGACCCCAGAGTTCTCAGCTGTGGGGTGAATCTGTGGCAGCAGGTTGAGGGACTTGGTAAACAGAGCCAGCTGGGCCTGTGGGCATTCCTATCTCTTGGTGGGTCTTACGTGCTCCAGCTCCGCTCACCTGCCTCCCTGGCCCTCTCCGGGGATCTGACACGGGCTCCCCCTTCCCAGGGCTTCGAGGCGGGGGCTCGTTTGAGCGCATCCGAGATCGATGTTGTACACGAGAAGGTGCAGATGTAGAGCTGGCTAAAGAGCGTAATAGAATTTATGGAAATCGCTGGCTCGCACCACAGCCCGAGCAATGATGGAGGTGATTATTAATTAATCATGGTCTTGGGGGAACAGTATCAGTGCAAGGAGTAATTAAAATGAAGCATTGTACAGTTGTACCGAATGATGATTTATGAGCCCGAGGAATTGCTGCTCTGCCCTCTCCCCTCCGCAGGCTCAATGGGAAGGATTAACTGGACGGATTGTTTTCAACAAAACCAGTGGCTTGCGGACTGATTTTGATCTGGACATCATCAGCCTGAAGGAGGATGGCCTGGAGAAGGTGCGTAGGCTCTGGAGGAGGCTCAGCAGAGGACCAGGGATGTTGGGAGTGCCTTCCACAAGCTCCTAGCAGAACAGCGGATCCACTGCAGGCATCCCCTTGGGATTCAACCGGCCCAGCATGGCCTCTGCAGGGCTGGGGGCTAGAGAAGACCCGAAGGTCCTGTTACACTTGAGTGTACTGAGTTCAGTGCCCTAGCTAGAACAGACACCTGTGCCATGATTCTATGAGTTGGGCCTGTCAGGGAAACACAATCAAAGACTTACAGCACAAGCTGACTGTCTCTAAGATCCTACAGGGTTGGGTCAACAATAAGGACAAATATGTTCTTAAGTTAAACCTTCTAGCCTCCACAGATAGCCTGGCTTGGGGAAGTAAGCTCACAGTTCTGGAGGCAGCTAGGCAAATATGGTGAGATTGCTTGTCTGGGAAACTAAGAAAATCTTTACCTCAAAGAGATGTTAGGATCTTTGGGATCTGCTCCCCTCCACTGATTCCAGCTTCTCAGACCACTGATTCCAGTGTTTGGTACAAGAAAGCAATCCTGTCTGGACTTGGGGCCTTTCATCTGGTCAACATAGACATGTTCTACTGAAGCCATCCCAGATCTGCCCTGCCGATGGCTCCCCAATTCCATGTCAGTACACTGCAGCCCTTCATTGAGGCCTTTTAGACACTGAGAGCTTCCTTAGCTGGCCTCCCCGCCCAGAACAGTCTCTTCTGCTCCCTGAAATGCCCTACAGTTAACTCATGTTCCCGACCTCCAAAACTTCTGAGTGTGACCCCCCCCCTTCTCGGGTGCCCTGGCTGTAAGAGTGCCCCCAGGCATGGACCTGGTTCAACATGGCCTCAAGTAGAACATACACACAGCCACGGCTCCCTGATTCTTTCCTGAATCCTCCCACTCAATGTCCAGGGAGGGGTAGCCAGGAATCCTAACTGTCCATCCACAGCTACTTCATGCCGTGTGTGGCATTAATTCCCAAGGTCGGGGTCTGAGGCCTCTGTTCCTGAGATCCTGAGATCACCCAAGAGCCACTGTTCCAGCCCCAGGTATACTCCACAAGTTCCCATCAGTCTTTGTTTAAGGTCCCCAGTGCTAGAGAACAGTCTCCCTCGTGGGCAGCGACAGAGCTGACATGGCGCTCACAGGTGGCTTGTCCTAACTTGGCTTCCTCAGCCACTCAGCTCTAGGGACAGCATCAAGTTTTCTAGGGGTAGTAGATAGATGGCACACGTGCCATCACTTTCCGCTCCTGTGCCCGTGGCAGGCATCAGTAATTGATCACCGGAGCACTCTTTCATCTGAGCCCACCCTAACAGCATCTATCTCCCAACAGCCCTCCAGGCAGCTGCTACAAATTGACCGTAGCTAATACTCAAGGAAAACTCTATTATCCCTGGATGGAGGTTAGCCTGCAGGGTGCCCACCAGAGGCTCCCGGTCATAGCCACCTGGGCCTGTGAGCAGACAGCCTCTTTACTCCCATCCTTTCATTCCCGTTACGCCTGGCATCTATTGGGGCTTCAAAGAGCTTGCCGGCCTGAAGCTCCCTGCTGCTCACCTGCCTCTGGACAGATGTTTGTCGAGTGCCTCCTGCCCCTAGCCCTCTTGCTCAGCACCCAACCCTCTGCTCAACATCTCCGCGCTGAACCTGGCCCACTTTAGAGAAGAGCCTCTCCAGTCCCATCTGCCTGTCAAGTCTCCTTGTGGCCCCAGTGGTCCACACAGGCAGAGAGTACGCTGAACCCCTGCTGCAGCCACAGCCTCTCATTGCCCCGTTCTGTTTGCTAAGCTGGGTCAGAGCTGTGGCTTTGGGAGGATTAAGGCAGAATTACCCAAGCATAATTACGTATCTTTCCACTATCTGTTGTGCACAGCTCTCTGAGTGGGATGTTTGCTCTTGGCCTCTCTGTTTAATTGATTAGGCTTTCTGAGTACCCCCAACTGGGCCAAGGACAGAGTGGGACGTGCAGATGCCTTTCCTGAGAGAGGAGCCAAGATGAGGCCCAGCTGGGCAGTTTGCTCAGAATGCACCTGCAAGAGGCCCGGGGCTTTAGAATGACTTATAAAAAATGTATTGCGTTTATTTATTCATTGTGTGTGCATGTATGAAATCACGCCACTGTGCACCTGTGAGGACCAGAAGCGCTCTCTTCTTCTACCATGGGTCCTAGGGATCGAACTCAGGTCATCAGGCTTAGCAGCAAGTGCCTTTACCTGCCGAGCCTTCTCTTCACTCTGGGAGGACATTTAAACCCTGCTTCTCCTTCCTTGACTTTAGCTTCTGACTTGATATTGTGAGGATGCTCTGAGGTGTTTCCCATGGTGGCCGGGTGTATTTTAGAGGAGAGACCACAAAGACAAGTGCCTCCAACCTTAGTGTAGTTCATAGGACTTACATCGTCACCCCAAACAGCTTCCAAGGCTGGCCTGCTGCCTGTTCACCCACAGTTCTTCTTTTCCCTTGGTCCACACATGTGGAGCACTTCCCCCTCATCCCAATGGGAGCGTCACCTTCATTCCAGGGTGAGCTGGGCTTTGCAGGTTTCTCCCCTGGAACAGACCCACTGAGTAAGCAGCTGTGTGCCCAGTGTCTTGTCAGGAGGTGGCTCAGCCTACCCCAGGACCCCTGGCCCTTTTATCCCTGTTGGGTATTTTCTGCAGCATCCTCCCAGCTCCCTGCAGCTCCTCTGCATTTCTCCCTCAGCTGAGACTTTGTCAGCAAGAGGAGGAGGAAAAAATTCACACCTTGAAGTCTCCTCAGACGAGGGAGGGCAACAGGGTTGTCGTCAGAATCGTTCACTCAGAACACACAGTTGCGATGATGGCAGTGTTGGCTGCAGTGACTGGAAGCAGATGGCTTTGTTGACGTGGAGAAAAAGACTCAGCACCTGCCTTTTGGTCTGTCTGTCCGTCCAGGTTGGGGTGTGGAGTCCAGCTGACGGTCTCAACATCACTGAGGTTGCCAAAGGCCGAGGTCCTAATGTCACCGACTCTCTGACCAACAGGTCGCTCATTGTCACCACTGTGCTGGTAAGAACCTCAGGCCCTGCTGACCTAAGAGACCCCTCAATCCCCCACCTGTCACATCTTGGGTACCCCTTAGGAGGCTCCCAGGAGACAGTGGCAAAGTGGGTCAAAAGAAAGTAGAAACTTCTAGGAAGGTTCAGAAAGCTTGAGAGGGAGGTTGGAACCCAGGAGCTCTCCCCATCCCCCAAGAGAAACCTGTGCTTGCTGTCTCACCCACCGGCACAGCAGAGTCCCCACTTTGTTAGTAGGACCACGAAAGAGCGACTGCTCAACACGACTCTCCCACTCCAAGTCCCAGGGCCAAGGCCCTTCCTTTAAGTCCCTCCAGCTGCGGCAGGTGCTAGGACAGGAGCCTGTACACACCCACACTGCACAAGGTTTATAGATCCCAAGAGCTGGAGGCTGTGACTTCTCCCCTTGAAGAGAACCACATCCCATCCCCTGTTTGTGATGAGTCGGGGGGTCTCATCTTTTAGATGTGGATAGCTCCTACCTGCCTCTCTAGCTCAGGCAGTTTAGCGATGTGTCTTCTCCATGCCTTCCGTTCTTCTCCTGCCCTTGCTCTCCGGATCCACTTCAACCAGAAAGTGGCTCATGGATTCTCCCAGGCTCCCTGCACTTTGCAGCTGGCAGCTATCGCCCTCCCCTTACTGACTGGTGCTGTGCCCATTCTTCATGTGCGACTGCCCCCGGGGAGGCTGCAAAGACAAACAGAGGCTCAGAGCAGACCCTCACCATGTCACAGAGTCACTGCTCTTAGGGACAATTCCCCACTTAGTCCAGGGCCACCCTAGGAGCAGGGATCCTAACCACAACCAAGCAGAAGCTGACGCCTTTGAGAACAATTCCGGCCCAAGTCAACCTTGTAGAATCTAGTAACCGAATCTGTAAGACCCGTACCTGGATACCTGGGCTTGTTCCTCTACACAAAAGCAAAGTGGGCCCGTTAGGATTAGGGGAGCCTTCCATGGGTGAGGCCTGGACCCACAAACTGCTAGCTTTCCGTGGTGCTTGGCTGGAGGTGGCTTCCCTGACATCCCCCACTGAGGCGATTCAGCCAGGTCAAACAAGACCAGCCTCCCCTCTAGTGTCATGGTGCCTACCAAGCATGTATTCGGTAGCTGGGTGGTTGGTGGGCACCATGAAAGAGTTAGGGAAGCAATTACAAAATATCCCCCATTCCTCCAGGAATCTCAAGGACACGGGAGCACTGTATATGTTGAGGGGAATGTTAGCCAATGGGTCTCAGCTCCAGCCCCCAGGGTCATAGTCCTAAGAGATCCCCTTAAAGCCCATAGAGATTGAATGGGTCTTGTGGACAGGTTGCTGATAGAGCCACAGGAATAGAGCCAGGAAGGTGGCAACCCACCTTTGGCTGGGGTGGGGGGTGGGAGACGGGTGCTAGTGAGAACCCCGGGTGTCTTCCAAATAATCACATTCCCTTCTAGTCTTTAGGGATCCACTTTTTGTTAAGGAGAGAAGTACTAAAGCCGTAGGTCAAAGCTGTAAGCAACAAGAATAGAAACCAAACGAATGTAAAAGATAAATGATAAAAATAAACAAAAAGCACCCAGGTTCCGGGAGACTGATGAGCAATTAAAGGAATATGGATGCGGATAAAAATAGGAAGATAAAGGGCAGCAAAGGGAGAGCTAAATAGAAAGGTTGAGGGGGGATAATGAAGGTAAGGGGAGAGATAAAAAGGGAAGAGATTAAGAAAGGCGAAAAATTAAATAATTCACAATGCTGGCTAGACAAGGTAAAAAATGCTCAAGCAAAAAAAAAAAGAAAGAAAGAAAAAGTCCAAAAGCAAAGGGATGAGAGTGTGGCAGCGCTAAAATATAAAAGGGTAAAAATAAAATAATAAAAAGGTGGTAAAAGATTAAAAGCAGAATTGCATGAAATGTGAGATATAAATAAAACACTTTTTGCAAGGCGAGATTAAAACGAGGTGAGAGAAATATGATTTAAGAGAGGCAGAGGAGAGATGATTACAGGAGCCGAGGGGATGCAGCCACGAAACAAGACTCCAAACGGGGATCGCGCGCGGAGGACTCCCAAACAGGTTGCAAAACACGCCTCCTTGAAAGGCCACTGGGTCACATCTCACTGAAATGGCAGCTGCCCTGTTTCAAGGGTGTGGAACTGGCTGGGACTTGGTGGTACACGCACTCAGGAGGCAGAGGCAGGTGCATCTGGTTCAAGGCCGTCTTGGTCTACATATGAGTTCCAGGACAGCCGCCCACTGCCCACCCCCCACCCATACCCCAACCCCCAAAAGAGCATATTCTACAGAGGCACAGGTCTTTTTTTTTTTTTTTTTTTTTGGTTTTTCGAGACAGGGTTTCTCTGTGGTTTTGGAGCCTGTCCTGGAACTAGCTCTTGTAGACCAGCAGGCAAACAAACCATTGACCTGTCAATCTTCACCACAGTGGCGCTGGACCCCAACCTGCTGGGCTCACTATATCACCAAAGGTCCCACCCCCAGAACTGGCTGGCTCCCAGGAACCCCAGGAGGATGTGGGGCAAGATAAGTCCCTCTTAAGTCTTGGCTTATAGCCCGGACACAGCTCCATCTGTCTCTGTCCTGCTGCCCCTCAGCCTCACATCAGCTGGGTAGAAATGGCCCAACTGCTCTTTGGCACCCGTAGGAACGGGATGAGCAGTAGCTAAGAGCACAGACTTTGAAGTTGCATCCTGGCCTCTGTTGATGTAATGTGTGGGCCTGAGACATGACTTTCCTGCTTGATACCTGTGGCCTGTCTGATAAGGAATACGTGGGAGCGATCACCACCTACTTCCTGGAGTTGAGAGGGTGGATGTCGATAAACTCATGGTGGGGTGAGAGCAGTTATTGTAATGAATGGCTGTTGATCCGGGACCCAGTGAGCTCAGGTTGGTCACACACCAACCATATATGGCCGCCGTCAGAGCCCTGAACTTCAACAAAGACGGAGCACAGCCGGAGTGGCGATTCCTGGCATTGGGGCACAAGTGTTACAAACTTCCAGTCCTCCCTGGAACATTTTTCAAGCCCAGTGAGCTCTCCTGGGCCTCCCTCCCATCCCCCACTGTCCCATACTCTGCTATATACTTTTAAGATTATATAATCTTGTCACCTCCACCCAGGACCTTCCCAGAGCTCTGGCCTCTCAGAGAGACATAACATTCCAGGTTGGCTCCTATGTACTCCCCTCCCTTGAGCACAGTCTGAGCTCCTGACCCTAGGATCAGGCTAATCACCTATCCCTGGGACAGCTACACACGTCATAGGGAGTGACTCAGCCCGGAGCTGGCTGAGCTGTCCTGACTGAAAACTCAGCACCTTGTTTGGTTTGCCTGTGCACAGGGCCTGCACCTCCTGCCGAGAGCACAGGCTTGCCTTGGCGTTGTCAAGGCAACCACATTTGAGTGATAGGCAGGTACAGGATCGGAACATCAAACTGTTCTGCCCCAGGGAACCAGGGCCTGGAGGTGAGAACCCTGATGAGAAGGGCGGCTACCTTCCTGGGATGTGGTAGACCACAGCAGCCTGTGTGAGCTCACCAACCCCACCTTCCACTCTCACTATGCTAAACCTCTGGGGTTAGGTAATCTAGGTGCCTTCACTGAACAGACCAATGGACAGGAACCTGACTGCGCCCTCTAGCCGCTCAGAGCACTGGGCAGATCCCCATTCTAAAGCTGGAAGCCTACCCCACCACCCTCCGTGCAGGCCCAACCTCTCTTCTGGCTCTGCTGTTCACAGTCTCATGAAAAATTCATGTACCCAAACCTCCGCTCACACCAAGAAAGCTCACGCCATGTGCTCCTGGGGCCCTGCTTTTGAAGGTTCGAGGTTCTTTCCGCTGTGGATGTGACTGGTAATCGGGGTGCGTGTGGGCGGATGTGAATTCTTGGGATATGTCACAAATGGCCTCTGGATACACACCGCTACAGCGTGCACACTGTGACCCCCATCGATGCAGCTGCCAAGCAAGCTGACCCCCAGCACCTAGTAGCAGGAGAAGGGGAAAGCCAAGGCCAGAATGTGGGTCAGGGGCCATTCTGGATCCACCCACTAGAGACATGTGACTCTGAATGCCCTGTCTTGTTCAGTGCTGCAACAGCCAAGGCCTCAGGTCTAGATTCTTGGTCTATGTGTGTCTAAGCAGGGTCAGACGGGCAGCATACAGAAATATGTGGGCCGTTTTACCAGTGTGCATACATGTGCAGATGTGCATGGACGTGAGGAGACATAGCCTAAGTCAGGGCACTCCGGGGCCCAGCTATGGGGTGGCTAATCTCTGAACCCTTCTCTTCTGGGGATTGCCCGCTCCCCACCTCCTCTTTCAACCTTCTGGCCCTGTGTCTGGCAGAAGCTTAGCTCTAGGTCTGGTTTTTCTATTGCTAAGTGATTGGTAGTGAGCCCAGATGGAGAGCCTTGTGACAGAAAGTGGGGAAAGGTTATTTTTCTGGACCCCTGTTTTCAGTAACTTGTTGAGGAGAAATATTACTCCTGGTCCCACGGCTCTTCTCCCGGAGCAATAGGAGAGCGTGAAGTTATGAAATTGAGGGCACCTTCACTGAGCAATCGATTAGCAGCTGAGGGAGCCGGTGAACTGGCTGTCTGGACATTTCCAGTAATAAATTGTGAAATAGTCCATGAATAAGTAGTCTCGGAGTTGAGAATTACCCCCTAGGAAATGTTGCTGGGCTGGAGACGCATTACTAAGGCGAGCACCATTTTAATGCCCTGGGCTTCAGCTGTTAAATATGTATGCCATCCGCAAAGCACTTCCCGAAATTAATGGCATTTTGCAGCTGCTCCGAAGGCAGTGTATTTAGATGGAGATGTATAGATTCTGGGGCTGTGGTGGCTTCACAAATGAAGTGCTAATTTTAGAGGCGAAGGCCAAGAAGAGGCGTGGAGGGGGCGGGTCAGGAAGGGAGCAGTCTTAGGGGCTTTTCCCAAAAGATTCCCTTCACTTCCCCTGGTTGCCGTGATCGTTACCATTGTTACCGTTTGGTGACATTGGGTGTGGTCTCTACGCGGGAAAGGTCACTGAAGTAATGGGCCAGTTTGCACACAGGAAGAAGGAGTGTGTCTAAATAGTAATAATAAGAACAATATAGTAATATTGGCAGCTGACACTTGCCAGGCACTGAGGGCTTCTCCCTGGTGGGTTCATCTTTCCCCTACTCCTGTTAGGATAGGTCTGTCGAAATCTCCATTCTACAGCAGGGAGTGGGCATCTCTCCCTGTCCGGGCAATTTCCCTGAGAAGAATGATGCCTTCCCTCTAATTCTTTCCCTAAACTAAATAAGGTCAGGGCCACCGGTTCAGTGGTGCAGCTTGGCTACAGTACAAGAGCATCCTTCAAAGGGGTCAGTGGATTGACAGCCCACCTAAGCCCCGTGCCCAGGGTGCCGGGGCAGTATTACCTGGGGAAAGTTCGATGTTCCCTTAACCTCCATTCAGCCTGACCCAGACCCCCATGGGCTTCCCTTCCCATGCTGAGCTGCTTGCCTGGCTCCTACCTGCAGGTAGCATCAGAGGCCCTGAGGTCTAGGGAAGGATTAACCCAAAGGTCCATGTTCCTGGATGATTCGACGGGAAAACATTGTCCTCAGAATTCCCAGACGGTCAGGAACCCGTGAGAGATGCAGACACTCTCTGCCTCCTTCTCAGAAGTCCCTGAAAGCTTGGGTAGACCCATGTCATGAGGTGGGGTTGCACAATGGGAGAGACTAGGGCAGAACAACAGCCCACCTGCCACAGCAGGAGCCTGGATCAGGCACTGATGGACCCAACAATGGTCACCAGAGGCTTCCTCTTCCCACCCTTTCCCAGGGGGTCAGGGGGTCAAGAAAAGTGCCCCGCCAGTGGGAGAAACAATGAGACACCCCTGTAAGTAAGTCCTTGTGTTATTGGGAGCATGTGTTCTATCAGTGAGTGGCTCTCAGGGAGGCATAGAGGCATTTAGATGGTGGGTGTGGGGGAAGGTGGCTAGCAGGCCAGGGAAAAGGATGGGGTCAGGACTGAGGTCCAAGAGACCCAAGCAGGTGAAGGTTATAGCAGCTCTCAGCCTGAGTTCAGGACCTGCAGGAGCAGGTGAAGTCAGAAGGGTCTGAGCCTAGGGGACAGACAGGAAAGGAGCTGGGTGAAGGAGGGTGCTGATTGTCTGTGTCTATCAGAAATTGAACTCCTCTGGACTGTTTATTGTCAACTGCTGTGTGGCTTTGGGTTATGTAGTTACCCTCTCTGAGTCTTTTTCTTCATGTATCAAATGGGAATTTGACCATCTATTTTGCATGCTAGTAAGACTTAAACAAAATAGATAGGCGTGCATCCAAAGTGGTGCCTGGTACACAGTAGTAATTCAACAAATGTGGAGTTTGCAGATGGGGCGGGGATTCGGCTCCACAGGGAGTTGTGGGTGGAGGTGGGTGCTTAAGGCCCACAGAATCATGGACTCGTATGTTTTCCTGGGTTCTGGGGCATCTGGATCTTGCCGCATCCTAGCATCTCTGACTGGATGCTGTCAGTTCAGTCCTCCCCATGGGCTTCCTGCCTCTCCCCATAGTTTTACATTTGTGGTGTAGCCCAGGGCTGTGCTTCTCAAGAGTCAGACAACGCTAAGCCTTACTCTCTGACTTCCACTGGCTTCCCATCCCCTGACACAGGTCAGGCATGCCTGCACCCACAAACTGCCTTCCTGGGGACCAACTGACTCCTGGGAGAGGCACAGCCTCTTGCTGATGACGCTGTTACCACAGTCAGTGTTGGCTCACTGCCTGGTCCTGACTTGGGGCGCTGAGGGGACCTTGGGAACAGAGCAGTGTTGGAAGGGGTGTCTGGTCTGGAACAGGTCAGGAAGGCACCATAGTGGATAAAGGGCTCGCCCACAGCTCCTGCTTCAGTGGGTCCAGTGCATTCCTCAGAGATTCTAAGGTCAGGCTGGTGCTGGCCTGGGATATAGCCCAGCAGAAACCTGGCTATGGAATCAGGTAGCTCCTGCCCCACCACTTCATAGCTCTGGGGTCACTGGCACCTAAGTCGGTCAGCACCAGCCCTGTCCTCTTGTGCTGGGACTGTCCCTACAGGTGCCATCACAAGACACCCAGCTGGCTTTCAGAAAAAGATTTGCCCTCTTCCTGGTTCAAGCAGTGTTTTCGGCAAAAGAAAACTCTGGAGCCTGAGGAGATGGACAGCTGTCGGCGAAGTGCTTTGTGGGGCCAGCGAGAGGCCCTAGGAGCGCAGAAAACGCCAATGTGGTGGCTCATGCTTGAAATCCCAGTGCTAGGGAGGCAGAGACAGGAGGATCTCTGGGGCTCTGCGGCTAGCCAGTCTGGCTTACTCAGTGGGCTCCAGGCCTTTGAGAGACCCTGTCACGAAACCAGGTGTATGATGGTCTGTGGTAGCCATTCCACCCCACTGAAGAAAAGTGAACTTCAGGTGGTTAGTTCAGATTATGTGAATACATGTAATTTTCTTCTCAAAGGGATTTTTCTTTTTTATATAGGGCCTCACTATTGTCATCCCGCCAAGCCTGGAACTCTGTGTTGACTAAGCTGGCTTCAAACTCACAGAGAACCTCCTGTCTCTGCCTCCAGAGTGCTAAGATTAAAGGCACAAATCACCCTATCTGGCCAGGGGGAATATTTAAAACTGTTTTCTACATTTAATGCATGTTAGTTTTATTATTATTAAGATGGAAGCAATAAAAAACATTAATGATACTTGAACAACGACACCCAAGTTTGACCTCTGGCCTCCACATGTAATTGCACACATATGTACCTGTACCCCCCCACACACAAATGTACCTAGTGAATATGTGTGTGCGTGTGCATGTGAGTGTGTATGTGTGAATGTACAAGAGCCTAGGCCAGAGGTGAGACACATGCCTGTAATTTCAGCATCTGGAAGGTGGAGGCAGGAAGATCAGAGGTTCTAGGTCATCCTTAGTGACTTAGAGATGTCAAGGTCAGCCTGAGCTACAGCGCCTATGCCTACCCCAACCACTTAGCCTAGCATCCTGTCTCCCTTCTGTCCACACAGGAGGAGCCCTTTGTCATGTTCCGCAAGTCCGATAGGACCCTTTATGGCAATGACCGGTTTGAGGGCTACTGCATCGACTTGCTGAAGGAGCTGGCGCATATCCTGGGCTTCTCTTACGAGATCCGGCTGGTGGAAGACGGCAAGTACGGGGCGCAGGACGACAAGGGCCAATGGAACGGCATGGTCAAGGAACTCATTGACCACGTAAGCCAGGGCTTGGGCGTGGAGGCTGGGGTAAGGACAGGGTGGGACGTTCTAGTGACGTGCCATTTGAACCTCTGGGCATCCCAGCCGGTGAGGGCCTAAGGACTAGGGAGATGGAGGTGAAGGTTGTATTCTTGCGGACTGATCAAGATCCACAAGAAGTGTGCCCAGCTCTGCTGGACCTGCCTGGCATAGGCTGTCCACCTCCAAACATCACCACTACATGCACAAATCGGCTCCTCTGATGCTGAGTCTTCCTGAGGCATCTTTGGTGAGGTTGCTATGGAGAGAATTCTTGCATCTTCTCGGCCTTTTGGTTCTTGAAAGATGTCTCAGCCCTGGGATTGAGGAGCCTAAACAAACATACTCTCCAGCTAAGGGACATGAAAACAGATCTGTCACTCCTAGTCACTGTGGTTTCATTGGTGAGGCAGATGACTCAAGAAGTGGGCTTAGGTCTGAAATGAAGGGGTGGGTAAGACGTCACTGGGCAACACCAAGAACCTTGCACCCTGCCTGGGACAGGGAAAACCTGGAGAGTAAGGAGCCATGCGTGCAGGGTGAAGGGGGAGAAGCCCATGGGAGGAGCCTGGGTTTGTAAAATAAGGAAAAAGACAAGAATTTGTAGGCCAAGAGAGGAATTGGGGCTTCTGAGCAGCTTCCTTCTGGGTGAAATGTGAAGGTCACCCATCTCCCATCACCACCGGGAGTACTGGGACAGTGATGCAGAGCCACGGGTACCTGTGTGATGCTAACAGCAAACACACCCTCCCTCTTGAAGTCCAGGCTCAGACCAGCAGATCTGAGGGTCAAAAGCCAGCTTTTAGGTTTAGCATATGTATGACCTAGGAAGTTCTTCAGTACACACACAGACACACACACAAACACACACAGAGAGACATACACACACAAACACACACACACACACCAGCTCCGTGTCATCCTTTTCACTACAGGAGTAGTTAGCAACTACTAAAGCCTCTAAGGAAGGTATGGGAACCAGGTACTGTTTGCCAGGCTCACAGGGCACAGATGAAATATCCCCCCACCTTCCGTCTCAGGGTCCTCAGCAGTACAGAAGTAATACTTACCTGAAAGAAACGCTGCGTGTAGTTAAAGGTGGTGAGGACCACATCTGCCCTGGATGCCCTAGGCCTGCTCCCTCCTGTCCTTAGAATAGCCCACTGAGGCAGTTACAGAGACTGAGGCAGAAACGGCAGAAAGATTGGAACCAGGTCTCAGATATCAAGTGGTGGGCTGGATTCAAAGCCGGGGAGTCTTTAAAGGCTATGTGCCTAAGTGGCCCTGGGCTTTGATCTCCCTAGAGAGACCACGCTGGCCCAGAGCCAGGGCGGAAGCACATTCATGGCTGACACAGTCTTCAAGGCCCCATAGTCCCAGTCACTGTCTGGGCTCCTCACTGCTGTGCGTCTCCAGGTGGAGGCAGCTGTACCAGCCTTTGACAGATGTCCTGCCCCACCACCCCGGACGTTGGGGAGGTGCTGTGTGGAGACCTCAGAGTCAAGCGGTGGGGATGAAAGTTGAACCCTAAGAGTCAGGGAGAGTATGACGTGGTGGACCTATGCCCCGGCCTGGCAAACATGGCCTGTATGGATGCCTGGTGAGAGGGGGCAACGTTGAAGAGCCTGTACTAATGCTGCCACTCGATAGCTGGGTGTCCCTGACAGTCTAAATGTGTCTGTCCCCTCACCTGTAAAGGGGGGTGACACACACGGAACTTGCCTCCCAGGGGTGCTGTGAGGACTCCGTTAGCAGGTGTGCTTGGTGTAGTTGGCGGAGCATCAGGCCGTGATGTCATTGTTTTTATTTTTATCCTCCCAGTTGTTCCTTGGAGACTGAGGAGGGAGTTGTTCAGGACTCGTTTTGTGTCCCCAAGCTCCAGTTTCCTGCCTCCACAATGAGAAAGATGATAACTGTCTCCACTTTCCCCTGCCTACTGTGAGGCTACAAAGAGACAACGGATGGGAAGGGGTTTCCGAGCTACAGGCTTCCATGTAAATGGGGAGCTGTGTTGTCACTGTTATTAGTAATAACTGTAATTATTATGGAAATGAGCCAGCAGGACCGGATGCGCCTCCTCCTACCCGCTCCCCCAAGCCTTTTAAGTTGGACTTTGGAGCCTGGCATTTGCAGACGGAATGGGAATGGGGAGGATAGAGCTCCTGTAAGACGGATGGCCAAGACCACATGTAGGAGGGGAGGGACAGTCAGTCCTGCCACCACAAACTTTGAAGAGCTGACTTCCTAGTGGGACATGATGAGAAGGGCCAGCAGCAAGCAGCCCTTCGGTGCCCCTCTGCTGGGGAACCACAGGGAACCTCATCTATAGCCTCTGTGCTGCTGGGCAGTGCTTTGGAGGCCTGGTACCCATCAAGGCCAGCCTGGATGGGACATGTGGGAGACCTTGTTAAACCCAATTCTCTACAATTGATGAGCCTGTTAATCCTAGCTTGGTGCCATTTTTAATAACATCATAACCATTTATTAGTGTCGTCAGATAATTAGTCTTCTCACTAGCTCATAGAGAGCGTGGTAAAGACTCGGCAATATTATTACTTCCTTATTAGGGATCCGAATGGAGGCGTAAAGATGATGGATTCCCACCTCTGGAAATATCTGCCCCCCGAGGTCTATTTGGAGGTACTGAGCAAACCCTCCAACCAAAAGAACTTAAAACGTCCTTCCCTGACACTCAGCTAGCCTCTGGTCCATGTCATGTGGCTGTTCAAGGAGCTAATACTATGGGCGGTGGGCACCTAGGAGAGCAAACCCCTCCTGTAGACACACTCACCTTCCCCAAGTTGTCGTTAACAACATAGCCGCAAATACTCTTCAGTCCCAGTCTCTCCTGACCTCTCTCCATCACCGCTGCCTGCTCGCTCTCACCCCCTCCCGGCTGTCTCTGCTCACCTCCCTGACTTTAGTCCTGCCATGAGTCCTGGCAACTCTAGGGCCCAATGGAAATAGATTCAGATTCAGGCTGAGCATTTCAACTGACGCAACCTGTCTGGCTTCCCTTCCCCTCCCCCACTGCTGCAGATGATAACAGAGCCTCAGTCTTGGTTCATGTTCAGTGAGCGTTCCTATGCAAGAGGCGTCCTACTCAGTACTAGCTGTGCCCAGTGCAGCCCCCTCCTCCCCCCCTCTAATGTGTCTGTGCTCAGATATGGGGGCAGCAGGAAAAGTAGCCCATCAGCCATAGTCATCCTCTAGGCCATATGTAACCGAGAACTGACCAGGACCTCAACCCTCCCTAACCTGACTCTAAACAGACAGCCTTGAAGGCTGACCCACGTTCACCCAGTTCATAGGAAACTGAGGCACACACTAGAGTACCGCCCTGCTTGGCACATTGGTGTTTTTTTACACCAGGAACCCTTGCCTGCCATCTAGAGCTTCTATGTCCTTCTACTGGTACCCAGGAACCTAGTTAGGAAGTGTGAAGAAAAAGTCCCAAGAGGGGAGAGCCTGAAGCCAATGGAGGGCCACAGATGGAGAGAAAGATGAGGTACTAGCCTTAAGAACTGAGTTATTTCATTTTCTTTCCATTCCGGGGGTGGATCCTAGGGCCTTGCCCATGCTAGGCAAATATTCTTTCACTAAGCTACATACCCAGCCAAATTATTTAATGTTAATATTGAGAGCTACAGAGCACCAGTAGAGGAGGTGGAGCCAGAGGGTAACATCAGCCTGGCTCTAGAGGGGAAGTCCTCCACTCTGGAGTCAAACTCGAGCTGGCCTGGGGTGTGGCTAAAGTCTGGATAAGAGGAGAGGGTGCAGTGGGAAAGGAGGAAACTGAGGGCCTATCGAGGAGACATGCAGGCTGCAGGCTGGTGATGGGTAAATGGAGGGGTCGGGGAAGGGTAGCGATAGAGGACCAGACAGAGAATTCTGGCATGGACCTCTGGGGAGATGCTGGTTCTTTCCCCAAGTTTCAGGCCCCCGAGAAGTCACTTGAGGCATGTTTGAACTATTCTCAGCAGGTGGCTAGTCACAGGCTGTGAGGAGGGAGCCAGATCAGGGTGGAGGGGGAGACTGCCCAGGATGCCCAGCCTGGCAAGGAGAATAAGGAGAGATTGGGTAGGGAGGGCACCAGGACCAGGCTCATACCTGAGATGTGTGGCCTAGAGATTTCTCTGGTTTCTAATAAGCTTGCAACAAGACAGAAGACAAAGAATGGGCACAGGTAACCTTGTCACCCTTCCTTCATGGAGGAAGTAGCCATGGCCAAACGTCCCTTCTACCCCCCCCCACCCCCGTCACAGAGTCCAGCCAAGAAAGTGGCACAGCCAGGAAGGACAGTGTCCTCTACTGGACTCCTCTTCTAGACAGAAGTCCCCGATGCACTTAGCTTGGCCATTGCCCAGCACTTGGGTGCAAAGCAGGCATTAGTGAAAGAAAGACTCATAAATGGGCATGGATGGACTTCTCACCCTGCCCAGAGACATAGCTGTGGGTCATGACTCAGCTTCACATCCAAAACATATCTGAGAAAGGTCTGGCATCAAAGCTGTGACCTCCTCACCTAATGGGTCCACTGTTTTCCTACCATAAGCCAGTTGCTCCTCTGGCCTGCATGCACTCACATTGGACCCCAAGCCCTATTCTTTGGTCCAGGAGAAGCTCTGCCCAGTCTACCTCGTTCAGGCTGGGCGGGTGCCCTTGAATTCGAGCCATGCTGGGAGCTCTCCTGGCTCAGGTCAGAAGGCTTCAGGGGCAGGGCCGTTAGGGCAGGGGAAGCAGACGGCTGTTGGCTGCCCGGAGCTAGACCTGAAGAGTGTTGGGAGAGTTCGAGATGACATCAGCGCAAATATGGGAAGGACCAAGTGGGTGGTCAGGTAGGAGATGCAGGAAGAACATAATACCCCACGGAGATTTCCCATTTGACTATCAGCTCTAGAACTCAGCCTGCAAAAGGGATCAGACAGACAGGTACCAAGGAGGAGCGAACACATGAGAACTTCCTAGTCAGAGGGAAA